TTAACAGTAACATAAAATCAATATTGTATTTTCCCACTCAATAACACAAATGCAACCAAGTAAGCAAGAAAACATTAAATCAATCCTTTGACAAAACGTCGATCTTATGTGGATTTTATAAACATTCTGATATAATATTTTATAAATGTTTCCAAACTGTCACTTGATAATTTATTATATTTTTAAATATTAAAATTACGGTATAGAAACATTATTTTTAATGTTTCGGTGAAATACTGTTGACAGTAACGTTGTACACAAAACATTAAAAGCTACATATTTGAAAACGTAATATGTTATAAAATATCATTGTAACAACGTGTGCTAACAATATCTCGCTTATCGAGAATATAACACGCATGTTATGTAACAGTATTATATTGTTGAGTGGGAAATTGTAACATTGATGTTACGTTACTTTTAGTGTTCACCGGGTGTGATCGATAAGATTCGCGAGCTACGGCGACTTTTAACCACCTACGTAGCCGTGACTGTGCTTTCAGGTATTTCGACGAATTGCCAGTTGGCATTTAATTTATTCGTCGTGCGTACGACACGCGCATGGCGATGCGCGTGACAATTCATTCCTGTTTCGGCGAGAAAAAGTGTAACGGCAGAATAGAGAGCTAAGAATACCGTTGAATTGAATCACACCGTTACTCATCGCAATTCATTTGATACGCCGGAAGAAACGCATGAAACTCACGAGAGAAGAGTGACGTAAATTTCGGCGAAAACGCAACTTAATGTTATCGGTTGGGAAATAAAGATAAGGGAGAAGAGTTTTATATAATATCCATTTTCTGCTTTATCAATGATGACAATTATCTGTCATCGATGTCTGTCATAAAAGTGAGGATGGGAGTTTATAAAAAATTCTGATTTCCTGAAAACCTCACAAATACAAGGCTCTATTTCCTTATGTCGTGTATATTTTATAGATTATAAGTACAAAAAAATATTAATTGTATACAGTAGAGTGAAGACAATTCATTGGCACGTTTTTTTATTTTAGAATGCGTACAAACTAGGGATACTATTAAAATACTAGGTACTATTAAGAGCGGCAGTATGGTCTGGAGCGCCAGACTTGCATCCGCGTTTCAAGTCTACCAGATCACTGGAATTTTTATTCCAAGTTGCGCTCTCCATATATTGAGTAAAAAGAGTGGAGATTCATATATGGGAAAGTAGACTCCGTCTTTCGGAAGAGATGTTAAGCCATCGGTCCTCGCACAGTCGGTAACCACCGTGTGAAATCTCAAGTTTTAGAAGAAAAATATTCGCCAACATGCAATGGCAGGCGCGGCGTTTTAATGCCAAATTCCTTCCAAGTAAAACTGGAAGAGACTATGTCTGGCAGTGGACGAAATAAGGATGATGATGACGACAAACTAGGGGAGTGGCTTCTCGATAACTCGAAGCCGCTGGAATAATATTCCCCTTGAAACGAGAACATATTATCGGACAAAAAGTTACTGCGTCTGCATACGCGATAAATCTAGAAAATGATGCGATAATTATTTTACAATCACACAAATATCACTCGGACGTGATTTATGATATGAACGAGTATTCATTAAGTGGTTGCGTCTTCTAAAACAAAAAATTCGCATTCCATTTATGACGATGCAAATTTTCGCTGGTCACTCCTAGCCGAGGACGAGCCGGAAACTCGCGCCTTCTTATACGAGAAGGCGACCGCGAATGTAATAATTTTGTCTCGTGCGCCGTTTTGCGCACGAGACGCGACCCGCGGCCGTTATATCTTTTATAAGTGTAAGGTCACTCACGACGAACCAGTGCATCGGACGTAAGAATATTGGAGAAATCGGAGCTGCTGGGAGGAATCGAACGAGAGCGAGGACTCTGGAAGAGCGGCGTGCGGAAATCTTCCTTTCCCGGGCAGACGGCTGGCGACGGACAGCGGGGATGACTACCTTGAGAGAAGCGCAAGGTCCCGCGACCCGATCGCAGATTATGCGAGGGAGGACCCCGAGGGAATTCCTTCGAACTACTGTGAGCCCAGCAGTTGCCGTATGTCGTCCCGGGAGGAATAAGGGCGAGCAAAGCGTCGCATGGAAGACCCTAGACGCGAAGCTCTCGCGAGCATTCGTGATAAGTGTGATCTAGCTGTGAGAGCCAATAGGATGCCGCATCGATCGGAGCGATAGATTCTTGCGACGGCTGCCTCCTGCGCTAATTGACGAGCCCTGCGGCCCGGCGGCGAGCGAAGCTGCTGAACGAGAAGGACGAGATCCTGAGAAAGAGAGGGGAGCTTCTGGTGGCGAGTGGGTGAGCGAGAAGCTATATGCAGCCGCGGGTAGGAAAAATTAGAGTTGCGTTGTAGTTCCGAGTCGTCGCTTCTCGGCGGCATCTGCGCGAGTAGTAGACCGGGAATTTTGACTCGCCCTGAAGGTCGGGACGCGCGGACGTGCGAGATTTGGAGGTCGCAGGTCGACAAGGGTCGTGCTCGAGAGAGTAGGAATCCCGGAGACTCGGTTGCCTTCTCTAATCGCCGGTCGCACAGTCCTCAAACTTAATATTGCATGTATTATATGAGCCCTGTTATTGAATCACATGCTTTCGAAATTGTTTTCTGACGAACGAGCTAAATCGGGTTTAATACATGATCGGCCAGAAACAGGTAATTATTGTCGGGAAAAGCCCAGCTGGCGCCCATTCCCGGAAACCCGGAAGATTGGCGTAACGAAGCCGGGGAGAAGAGAGCTTTTCTCGTTAACACGACGCGCGTTATCATGGTTGCCGTCTAGCGGCTTAGACCTGCCGCCGAAAAAGCATCTCGTAGAACATCTCGGACGAGAGATCGCTCTCTATTAATTGCGTTAATGCGGATCTCCCGGTGTATCGGTTCGCTCCATGTCATTGAAGTGATCAGGCGAATTCAAGTATTGTTATTTATATGTTAAGTCTATAATTTATTATCTCTCCCGACTTTCCCCCTTCCCCGAATTGTCCGCGGGTATCGAGGAAGAAGAACCACGACGCTCTATCACGAGGGATAGTGAAAAAAAAAATACATTCGCTGTTCGCCTAAATAATACAGAGCTAGCCGAGGTGGGTACGCTGCCGCGAAAGCGGGAGCGAAGAAGTCCTGCAACCGCGCGGACAATCATTTAGCGTTGAAGCGTGACAAAAATAATGGCGCCCGAGAGGGTTTGAGAGAAAAATTTGATAAAAGGGAGCGATTCTTCCTCGATACGTAGGTCGGAAGAAACAGGAGAGTTATTTTCGTGTCGTGGATAATTTATGTTATTTCTTACCATTTCTATAATTATTGCTTGTATTGTGCATGTGCTTCTTGTAATTACTTATTGAGTATTTATTTATTACGTATGCATGTTAACCATCCATCCAATATACGATACTGTTTTATTTTGCTCTTCCACGTCTCTTTCCGCGCTTCTTAACTGGTTCGCCGGTTCTCTTGGTTACTGCAGCAGTCTTGCTGGTGGAGGCAGTAGGTTTCTTTATCTAAAATTAGTTGACAATTTAAGGTTCAACAAGTTTCTTCGATTTCTCTGTAAAATCTGCATTCTTTTTTACGCAATCATAAAAGCAATTGTTAACGTTACCTTAATCATTGCGTCAGAATCGATCTTGCCTTCCTCCTCTTCGGATTCTTCCTCATCCACTAAATCATTGTCATCATCTCGCACAGATTTTTTCTTTACTGTACTACCACTGTTAACTGCATACGGCAACATTGGAGGATTCTTCTGATACGCCCTAGTAAACGCTGCTTTCACCTAATATATTAACGTGATCAGGTTTTCCATAAGGTTACCACGGAAAATAAATTTGGAAATTTCTCGATTCTTCCAAACGACAGTAGAGAATTTTCCATGACCAATATATTATCTTAAATTTAAGACGTTTTGAAGCGGGGATTGCAAGAAAGGTAGATTATATTATTAGAAAAGCAACGCGAACTTAGGGAGCAGTGATGCCAGTTTCAGGACACTTACAGCATGCCGCAGTGCGCGACTTTTGAATGCATTTGACTTTAAAACGTTGGATATAAAATTAAAAAAAATTATAAGTACTCTTTAAAATAAAAACATTTAAGGGAGTTATGAGCAAAGTTCAAAATTCCAGCCTCTCTTGTATCTTTCCTTGACTTTTCCGGAGAGAGATTTTCCCCGATTTAACTTTCCCTGATTAAATTTCCATGACTTCTGGTTTTCAAGGTCCGTCTGGCAACTCTGTTCTAGACTCTGTCCTAGATAATGTGAAACTAATCGAAGATAATGGGAACATCGCTGTGCTATGCGTACCTTGCTGTCAAGATTACTCATGGAATTACGAACACCTGGCCAGAGGGTGATTTCCATCATCGAATCCAAGTCCTCCCTGAAGCGAGATCAAATATTGGGACGTGAATATATACATCTCTTAACTCTGCATTTGTACACCCTGCAAAGATACACCCGTTACACGTGAAATACAGACCTCATTAGATGATATTTTCCCATGACGGCAATCGCCGCTTCTATACCGTCCGTGCCGTTGTCTATCAAAGGCTTCACAACCGCGTTCCGTATGTGGAGCATGTAATCTAAATTTACGGCGTCTTTGCTCGCGCCCGTGGCTAATCGCGTGTGCGTCGTTAACTCTTGCATCAGCCTGAAAATGACATTCTCACTTGACAAAGCGGAGCGAACCGTTGCTGAATTTCGACGCGCGATGAGAACAAATATAACGTTGAAGTGAAAATTAAAACGGTCGTTAGCGACATCGTCCAGTTTTTACCTATTGAATCTCGTAGCTTTCGAATTCCGTCCGAACCAGCCGGGGAACCGCACCATCGCGTCAAGACTCCCCGACATTTCACTGCCCGGTATAATAAAGGAGAAACAGGCGTGCAACGGCAGCAGACTCCACGTCATGCCGCTCCTCATCACTTTCTCGACGAGGTCCCCCTGCGATATACTGTCGGCCGTGCGAGCGATCCTCTCTAGCCTCTGAAGACTGCAAACACGCGACATCTCACCGTCGAATCCTGGGCCTTCGTCCACCAAAAATGCATATACTCACGGTGACACTTGTGACAGTTTGACGGCGGGATAATTTTCTTGCACGAAAAGAGGCGCTATGTTATAATCGTGGAAATACAGGCCGATCTTGTCGTTCAGAGTGGTGTCCCTCTGCTGCGATGCATTAAAGACCATCTTCGCGACGTCGAACGCGCCGAGTTTGAAGTTCTTGTTGGCGTGCTTTTTGCCGGCCGCCTGTCCGCCGCGCGTCGTCCTCCCGCCGAAGAACTCCAAGTGATTGATCACTTGTCGAATGTCGTGATTCGTCGACTCGATCAGCTGATCGAGATCGTCAGTCGAGATGCTGATGTTCTCTTTATAGCACAGGGACATCATCGAGCTCTGCGGAAGGATGCATAATCCGATCAATAAACGAGTCGAAGTGAAGGGGAAACGTTTTGCTCGGGCGAAATTCATACTCTGATCTGCTCCACTCGGAGTTTCGGAAACTTCAGATCGTAACTGTGGCAGGAGAGGGTCCTCATTTTCACGTTAGATCGGTCGTTGCATATGCAGATAATCGGTATCTCGGTATGTTTGATCAAATTAACCAACTCCTGCAAGCCACCGCGATCCTCGTTGCCAGCCATACCGTCGACTTCGTCCATCACCAATACGTGCTTGCTCGTGGTCTTTTGGTTGTTGTCTGTAATGTAGAGTGCGAAAGGATAATTGCGCGTCATTCATCAAGCCCCCGATTGCTCAGTGCTGCTTACCTGCGAAGTAATGTTTCAATGTGGTGTTCGACAACAGTCCCGAGATCTCTTCTTTCAGGAGCGTTTTGCTTCTCGTGTCGGAAGCGTTGAACTCTAAGAGATCGTACCCCAAATCTTTGCAAACGATCTGTACAGTCGATGTTTTACCAACGCCTGGTGGACCAGACAGCAAGGCTGCTTTGAAATTCTGCCCGCTGCTTTGCTTGCTCGCTAAGGGAAAACTATAAAATTAATTTCTGTGCAAGTAGATGTCAAAGATTATCAACTAAAACCAGTTAAAATAAAAGTGAAAAGGTATCATGTCTCCCATATAGTGTAGGTGTAAACATGTGAAAGAACGCGCGATAAACGTACAGGCATCTTTGGATTTTGAATCCTGGCGATTCTTGTGCCAATCGCGCAGCCAATTGTACAAATTGTGCGCGGAGCTCCTGTCTCCTTGCTGGCCTATGATTTGTTTCAAAGTTTTAGGTCTGTACTTTTCGACCAACAGTTGTGAGCTGATATTTGTAATTGTCTAAATAAAAAAAGAATAACAGAAAATCAAGCTTTATGATGTAATATTTTATATATATATATATATATAATTAAATTGGCGTTTGGTTCTACCTTCTGCGATCCATCACTTATATTTGACTCCTGCTTCGGTACTGACGATGAAATTGTGGAAGTTTCTTTCTTAAGTGAAACTACTGGTACTTCGGTTTTGACCGGTGACGGCGATGACAGTGCTTTCGTTTTGTTCATCAATGACGACAGTGCTTTCGTTTCGCTCGGCGATGGCGATGTATCACTTTCAGACTTGTTCAATACCTTTTTTGGCTTTGCTCTTGTCGTGGCTGGCTTGATATCTTCAGCTCTGCCTTCCGGTCTCGTACGTATCATTTCTAAGAGATTGTCCTCGGATATTTGCTCGATACCTAAACTGTTAGCCTGAAAAATCATATTAATAAACGTAATAACTGATAAATTAATAAAACTAATCTTGTTTCAGTGTAAGCATGGAAGAGCTGGTACATACGACGGTACGTGTGAAACATATAATACACGCACGTATATAAAAAACGTACCTTTGCCAATTTAGCCGGACCAGCTTCATCTCCCACTATGACGTAGTTCACTTTACTTGATACAGAGTTTACCGTTCGGCCCCCGTAATTCCGTATTAAATCTTCGGCTTCATTCCTTTCTAAGGAATCCAAGACGCCTGTGAGCAAGAAGCTTAAACCAGCTAAACAGTTCTTAGCGCCCTAAAATAGTTAAGAACTAGTTAAAAAAAATAGTTAAACTATTTCTTCTTCCTTTGGCGCTACAGCCCATGTCTAGGCCTACCTCTCTCACGAATGCATATGGAAACAGGATTAGTTTTATTATTAATTTATCGATTATACGTTTATTAATATTATTTTTAGGCTAACAGTTTAGGTATCGAACAAATATCGGAGGAACAATCTCTTGAACTCGATGTCAATTTCAACTCTATCTAGTGACTTTCTCGCTTTGCTAGTGCGATAATTCATTATGTTTTACTGCCACAAACAAGAATTCTGGAGGTAAAGACAATGAGATATGCTAAGTTCGTTTTGATCAATATTTACCATAAAAAGTATATTTATATATATAATTGTAATTATATGCAAACGTATGAAAATTCTTACTGTAGGAATCGTCTTTGAACCAGGATTTCTGGCGCCGCCTCTCTGAAGATACTTCTCATATAGTATGGAACGTTGTTTTTTCATTTCTATTCTTAACTCAAAGAGAACCGTTTCTTTAGCTTTCTTCTTATTCGATGATTGTTTCTCGATATCTTCATGTTTTGAAGCAGAAGTAGTGATATTTGGCATATTCTTGAACTTTTTGGACACATTATCAGTATGCTTATCGTTTGTATTTGGGCTTTCATTTGAACCAAAACCAACTTTCCCCTCACTTTGCTGCTTCCGTTTTGGAGGAGAACTTATAACAGTCTTTGAATATGTATTAATATCTTTATTGGGAGATTTCACCTCCTTAGTTTTTAATTTGTTTGTTTTATTTGTCTCATTATGTAATTTCCCTTTATTTATCTCATTATGTAATGAGAAACTCTTGCGTTTTCCTTTCTTGCTATTATTATGGCCTACTTCTGTAAATGTATTATTCAGTCAAATCATATAGATATAAAACTATCTAGTAAGAATATACTCCAATATTCAATGCTCGAACACAAATATATACCTGTTTTTGTTACTGTTGTTTCAAGATTGCCCGAGATATCTGCATTTTTAATGCTACCTTTTTCTTCCTTTGTGTTCTGTATATTCTGGGACATATCCAATTTACTCAGCACAGCTTCAAAGTCAGCATCATTGTGAAACTCAGATTCCTGCAAATTCCAATATTGTTTGCAAAATGTTGGTTAAGTTTAACACTTTGCAGCCCACCAATAACATAACAGCGTCATGCAAATTTTGATATTACTGGCTGTCAATATCGCAATATGTGAAGACACTATACACATGTACACTAATATTATGAATATTCATTAAACCAAGTACTTTGATTTTATTTTTTTAAGCCTTTTTATCAGCATTTATTTGTGGCCGAAAATTACAGCTAATGGATAGACATAGTTTGCATGAACCAGCATGATAGCTTCATTCCAAGGACAGACTGCAAAGTATGTAATCTTTTTCCTTTATATATAATATTTACCATTTCCTGTAATTTTCTATTTACTCTTGCTTCTTCTATTCTTGTTACAGGTTTATTACCAAATAAATCACCAGAAAACACTTTAAGCGATTTTTTATTTCCACTGGTACATGCTTTAGATTGGTCAGAATCCTTCTTATCATTAATCATATCATCCTCAGAGTCCGATAAGATTGATAAATTTCTCCTCGTTTTTTGTACAATCTACGCACGAAACATTTACACAAGAACACTATTATCATTGCTGGTCACAATGAAAGCATCATCAATTTTACTTAAGAAGCTTCAATAATTTCACCGTAAAAAACCAAAATTTTACCGCTATTACCAGAGCAGACTTTAGACACAACCAATAGATTATAACTTTTCATAATCATAAATAACAAATGTACGAGCGATTATAGCAAATAAATGAAAATATCGCAATTAGACATAAAGTTGACTGTTACAATACCTTAGAGCGCTTCGCAGATGATTGTGGTTTCTCTTCATCTTCGTCTGATGAGATCACACGTTTTTTCTTAGGTTTCGGAGCAAATTTACTGCTCGTCTGGGAATTTGCGACTGGCGCAAAATAGGATCTTATATCCTACAAAAAGAAATTTATAACAATATATATGTATCAGGTTTATCAGAAAGTTCTGTCCGATAATGTCAACTCATTCATCTCCAAAGATGAGCCATTCTAAGTCATTCAGAAAGTGAATCTACAAATTACCATCACGCTGGAAAGAAGTCATTAGTAACGATGGAAATTATATTGTTCAGTAAATATTAATAAATGTATTAAAAATGTATTATTTCCTTTTAATTCGAAAACGAACAGAACTTCCCGGTAGACCTAATATAATTTAAAGTATGGCCCAGCAAGCACTACAAATGTTTTGAAACGTTTCTTCTTTGTTACGCTCGCTTTTTCGGATCCAAAAGATAGATAAAGAAGGAAAAACGCTTCAGAACATTTGTAAACGCTTGCTGAACCGCACTCTTAAACTTGACTTTTGTAAAATTGAAGTAACACACAGATATAACCTACCTTAGCAGTGTTGGCTCCATTTTTATTACTCACCCGCGGCATTTTTGTAATATTATGCAATATTTAGACCGTATTTATTAACTCTATTGTTTTGTCAGCATGATCGATCATGACTTCTAAATAGTAAATTTCACTCAGCACACCGGCAATTGGTTTATCCGTGTTGTTTACACTTTTCACACTCGATTTCCTTACTCATGCGTTGTTCTCGAGCGTCCGAATATGCGTCCGTCTCATAAATACGAAGAAACGTGCAAAAAATACAAGCCACGCGAACAAAACTTAATATTTTCGCACAAAATTATTACCGTTAATGTATCACCACAAAAAAACACGATTAACAGGGCACTGGCGTACGTATCTACTCGTTTAAGGGCCAGCATGAGTCATGGTAGAGACCTCTCGCGGAGAGTCAGTCGTGCATAAAAGCGTTTCTCAAAATATACCTTAAGCCCGTATCAAACTATGGATTAGGAATTATGATTGAACTGAATTTAACAAATGAGTTTAAAGTTAATCAAACTCAAGTTTAATGAAATTTAGTGAATTCTACACTAATTGGTCAAATTTCAACTCAATCTCAATCTTTAATCTATAGTTTGATAAGCTTTAGAGCGGTATTCATAAGGTCCGTATAAGACTACGGATTGGAGATTAAATTAAAAATTGACCAATCAGTGCAAAGCTCACTAAATTTCACTAAACTTGAGTTTAGTTTGCACTGATTAGCTAAATTCAATTCAATCTCAATCTCCAATCCGTAGATTTGTATTCATAGTCGGATTTTATATTCAAGTCTAAAGTTCATCTACAGATGCTGTATCGCTTATTTCATTGGCTGTGAAACATCTGAAGAATTTTCCCTGAAAAACTCGTATGCTTCATACATTTGAATGTGTATGGAAATTTCTCGAACTGACTCAGTCTGTTCAGCTAAAAAGAACAGACTAATCATCTGTCGTTTTATTTGCACTTAGGATCTATCTTCGATCTCCCCACCACCTCTCTCTCATCCTGTTCTACCCTCAAGGTGGAGTTTCTAAATGCAGCCTGAGTAGTTAAACTGTCACTCCGCGGAGAGGACGGACGGGAAAATGTTCGGTAAATACTGTAATTTTATATTTCAGTGTGGAATTTATTATATTATATATTTAGTTTTGAGAATACTTGTACCGTCTAGATTGCAGTCTGATTCTGACATTAATGTATCATCGTGTTCTTTTCTACTTTTTCTCAGGTTGTTGTTGGTGTTGTTCCGCGTTACGACCAAGATACAAGAGGCTCGTTGACAATATCTTCCCAGTCAATCCGCAGGTAAGATTTCTTCTGTTTTCTCCATCATGTTCTTTGCTCAATGATATATCTCGATTCTCGTCCCGCGTATCTAAAAGCGCTTTGCCCACGAATGAACGTGTAAATCAATATGGAAACACTGTCCTTGACAATAGATCAAACCGGTTATTCTATTTACGGTAGAACCTTTTGATATTTGCGTAGTAAATGTGGAATTGAACTGAACGTTAAATCGATATTTTACACAATGACATGTGGTGATACATCTGTCTGCTTGTCAGGATGGCCTGATTAAAAATAATATGGAGAAGTTGACATTCTACTCGTTGAGCAGTCCTGAGAAATTGGACAGAATCGGCGAGTACCTGTTTCAACGAGCTTCTCGAGATATTTACAGGTATATTGCGCAAGAAGCAATATAATAGTTTTTTTCTTACTGTTTAGTCTTTACCAAATGCGTGTAATAAAAACTATATATTGTGATACATCTAGTTATACAATATGTTGCATATTCTTCTGTGTGTCACAAATCAACATAGGCAAAGCCTGTGAAAGTGTACAACGGATTGAGGTGGACAAAAGTCCCATATCGTTTTGTTATATTCACGATAGTAAGGAATTAATCAGAAGTAAGCCATTTGTCTTTATAGCCCAGACTGCTACTTCCTGTGTGCTCATTGGCTCACACAGACTAGTTCATTCTTCATTAATTATTGCGAATATCACAAAACAATACGGAACTTTGTTGTCCACTGAAATCTGTTCTACAAGTCCTTACAAGCCTTTTGTCTGTGTTGATGTAAGACACCTGTATAAATAATTATATACTGCTATACATAAGAATTAGAAAAATTAATTCCAATGACTGTTACAAGCATGGCGATAATTCAGTAGACTTACAGATAGTGTGTTGCACGTCCATAAAGGAGGAAGATTAAAATCTGTGTTATAAATCAGAGGCATAAAGAGTCTCCGAGTTTTTCTTAAGATAAAGAATTATATCTTAACAGGAGGCGAAATGGCTTTGTTGTGATCGCCATGGAAGCGATGGACCAACTCTTGGTAGCCTGTCATGCACAAACCTTAAACCTGTTCGTTGAGAGCTTCCTGAAGATGGTGCAGAAACTGTTGGAATCCACAGAACCTCAGCTACAAATTTTAGCAACACAATCCGTAAATGATAATTAGTAGCGAAATAACATCAGTTCCATTACGTAATGAATCAATTCTGCTTATCTTGTGTTATTAGTTTGTCAGATTCGCCAATATCGAGGAGGACACGCCATCTTATCACACACGCTACGATTTCTTCGTGTCCAAATATTCCGCCATGTGTCATTCTAATAACGACGATCCCGCCATACGTAAGCAGATTAGGCTTGCTGGAATTCAAGGACTACAGGTGTGACATTTGCAAAATATTCGTATAATCGTATTTGTAAATACTGAGTAATTATTTGCACCTTGAAAAATCGTATTTATTTATTAATGTCCGTGTATATGTAAAGGGCGTTGTAAGGAAAACTCTCTCTGATGATTTGGTTGAAAATATCTGGGAACCCGTTCATATGGACAAGATTGTACCATCGTTACTGTATAACATGCAAAATTCGAGGTGAATCATTAATTTATTATATCGACGCAACATATGTAAAACAACATACGTATTGATGTAATATTTGTATCTGCAGATATGCCGATAAAGAACAAGCGACACCGGACAGCCCGACCGAGGAAAGATCGGATCCACCGCAGTTTGCGGAAACTTGTATGCGAGAACTGATCGGACGTGCATCGTTCGGTCACATTAGATGTGTCATAAGACCTGTATTGAGGTACAAGATGAAATTTTGTTTTAGGGTTTATAACGCACGTTAATATACTTCTCGACAAAATTAAAGGATCACTTCGAAATCAGCGCCAAGAAGGCCCAAATTCAAAGTCATAGAACTTAAAGCCTTAGCTTTCGGATGTTTCAAGGCACGTTACTCTGCAAAAACATTTTATTACCAGCTCTGAATTTGATTCTTTAATCGCTGATTTTAAGTGATCCTTTAGTTGCGTTGAAAAATGTATATTCATTTGTTGAAAATATTAATAAATTATTTTGTTTTTTACAGACACTTGGATAATCATCAGTTGTGGGTCCCTAACTATTTTGCAATTCATACCTTCAGAATAATTATGTTTTCTATCCAGGTATGTGTAATCATACTGGTATACACCGATCATTTAATACGTGTTCCAAGCAATTATATGCTAAATTGATTGGTTAATTAATATTTTGCGCCGACGATATAATGATGTCGCGCGGATTTAGACGTTGCAGTCCGCCCGATATGGTTATGCCACGATGAGAGAGCGATATTAAACGATATACACGTGTATCTATGACTGAAGGTAAATGTGTGGAGAAAAATTGAAAGTGAAACGTACTTAGTAGCGTTAAAAATAATCATAAACGTGAGGAGGAGCCACAATAGAGCGTTACAAAATAACGAATATAATTATGAACAACATAATTAGAATATATATGAAAACACAAAAACTATCAATAGAACTACGTCTGATAAAGATTCTTTTTCATCACATGATTATATCAGGTTGTTCGGTGAGTTCGTGCGCTCCACGTTGCTATGATAATCAGTATTTATTTATATAATTACTGAAATAATAATTAATTGAAAAATTGTGCTAAATATAAGTAATCATAGGCTCAGTTTACTTGGATCAGAGAGCGCAACAACTTCGTACGGAGCGTAAACCAAAAAGTGCTAATTAATCAATTAACAAATTGATTTGTTGGATAATTTCATATTAAATTAATTTATAACTTTATACTAAATTATCTTTAGTGTAAGCAAGGCCATGGTTATAAGATTATATATGTTTGAACATTAATGCTAAAGTGATCATTAATAACTCATCGATTTACCCTGCTGCTTTTCAGTCGCAATATTCTTACACTGTGGTGGAAGCCTTGATGACACATCTCGACGATCACTCGAAGTCGTCGCCAAAAATTCGCACCAGCATAGCGGACACCTTATCGAAAATTATATCAATCGCCGCGGGTGAAAGTGTAGGTGAGTGCACGAAAGTGGCAGAATTAAATGGACTCAGTGTGAATCTATACTTACATAATCAATACACAAGCCCTGATCGTACAATGAAGATTGAGTGTACCATCATTGAACTCGTGTAGCAGCGTGTATTTCCTACAGGACCGTCTGTGTTGGAGATCATAAACTCCTTGTTGTCTCATCTGCGGGTTAGCGTGACGAGAAACCAATCGTCAAGCAGTGACGAGCAATTGTATCAGGAAGCCCTCATCAATGCCCTCGGAGAGTTCGCGAATCATCTTCCTGATTATCAGAAAATCGAAATCATGATGTTTATCATGAGTAAAGTCCCGTACAGCCAGCCGGATCGTATCGTATCGGTCGGCAAGGGGGATGTACTGCTTCAAAGCATACTCTTGAAATCTCTGCTGAAGGTATGAATACTGTACTGTAAAATTTAAAATGTATAAACTAGAATCACAGACACACAAGTAATTCTTTTCAATGTAATAGGTCGGCACCAAATACCAAACCATTCACTTGAACACGACGTTCCCGCCGAGTTTCTTAGACCCATTGCTAAGGATGTCGCTGGCAGCGGATGCTGAAATGAGACTTCTCGTGCAGAAGATATTCCACACTCTGATTGATAGACATCGCAATATTACGAAGCTCGCCAAACCGACGTAAGTTTTATCTCTTGCTTCCCCTCCCGTGTTGGGGTTAATTTAAAACAAATCATATCAGACACGAAGTCGTCTTCAATAATTGAATATCTTATTGCGAAATAAGTTTGAAGTAACGACCATTATTAATTGCGGGCGTTAATATTTATCGATGAACATCAATTTATTAACATCGCAGTCTTCGAGAGAATATATTGTTTCTAATGTGTACGTGTGTACCTTTTTTTTTCAGTGTAAACTTGATAGAACTTGACCTCTCCATCGAGAAAGCATCAAGACCCGACGTAATTTTCATCCGCAAGCATGGCCCTGAGATTTATCTAGCGCTCTACGAGTCGTTAGAGCTGACCAGCAACACCGTGGAAAATGTGGAATCTATTTACACCACATTGGCTTTGCTCGCCATTGAGCTGGCTTCGGAGGAAACGATCTTGGAACTGTTGAGATTGGTGTTGAGCCTCCAAGACCTGGCGGTGACGAGCAGTCAGATCAGTCTCGCCCTTAAGTTCAACTTACACGCCATTGTTATTAGCCTGTTAGTTTTAATCTCGTACGCTTGTAATATCACCACTCTGATGGATTACGCGAAGAAGGTGAGCGAAAAAGTTGAATTACTCGCGGTTTATTTCGAATTTCCATTGGAATGTAGATCGGTATCAAGTTAAATTCAACGTAATTGACGCGATCGTGCCCATTTTAAGGTGGTGGAGACACGTCGAAACGACAGTCCGCACTTGCTGCCGGATTTGCAGTCTCAGTATGACACTGGTCTGACGTCCAGATTGGTACCGGCTCTTCTAGTCGACCAAACCGTTGTCAGCGAATGCCTGAAAGGGGCCGGGCTTGACAGCGGGAAGTTACAACAAGGTTCCGGTTATAGCAGTAGTTCCTTGCAACATAGGTAAAGTGGACATCGTGTTTACCAGCGACGATCAACCGCAGATAATGAACGTTTGTCACGACGTGTGTAACGAAAAACGTGTTGTTTCACACGTAACAAATATTGTTTTCATTAGGCATTCCTGGGTCGACAGCGCCGGGCGAAATTCGTTGGCTGACATTAATTCCGGAGGTCAGGAACTGGACAGCGGGGGTTCGTCACCTGGTGTACAAAAGGTAAGTGAATTCAGCTTGACTTTAGTTTCCATTAAATCAGACAATAAACAGATTCGTCTCGAATCGTCTGCGTTATCGTCTCATAATGGCTCACCCTATACCAAAGTTATCGTTTTTTCTTCTTTAGAAGTTGCCCGGAGAAGAATTAACGTTTGAAAGTATGAAGAGAATTTTGACAGAGAACAACAACAATCATGTAGTGGAGGAGGAGAAACGAATGCAGCTTTCCCAGTTCTTTAGAAACGCACCATTCCAAGATCTGGTGTCGAAAACTCAGCCGAAGGTATAGCAAGAATCTATCTACGATCGTTGATATTCAACATTTCAACAACGAGTACTCTGAATTTCAACATTTTTCACGCTTTTTCTTGGTTTACAGCACGATGTCCTGCAGAGTAAATTATCGGAGATATTTAACACTCTATCCGTTGATCCACGCAACGCAATTCCCACTGGGCCGCAAACAGATACCAAGCCAAGTCAAACTCCAGCGTATGAAATTCATTTCCCAGAACTGTTTGTATATTAGACAACCGGTATATTTCTAGTAGCATCGCGTTATGTTAGATCCAGACATCTATATAATACTGGACAGCTAGCTCCCCGGTTTCCTAGTGCATGTGTTTCTACTCAGTTTCGCATCAACAGCATTCATATATTTATACTTAGTAACCTCATAAGCGGAGAGTTCCTATATTTGTTAGAATAACTGCATTCCAATTGGTTACTGTAACACACTAATATGTTATGTAAGTATATAGCTTTCGAAATATATAAGAAAGCTGTTTATTATAATATAGATATCTGTGGTTAAAACTGATATGTTACAGCAATAAGCAGAGAGAGAAAGAAATTTTGACTTCCACACGCCGCGAATCTACATGAATAATAAATAGATCTGTGCCAGAATGTTTCGTCCATTGCACCTTTTAAATAGTTTAGATTAGTAATTTATTACTTGCTAGCTTTCCTCCCGTCGGGATCTTAACATACGTTATTAAACGTTTGAAATTTCGAACATTAAAAATTATTATTTAGAAGACGTATTGGACAAAATGCTCGGACACGGGCCTATTTATTTCTTACGTAGATTCACCACGCGCAAGGAGATTGAAATCGGCGAAGCACTCACTGCGTCCTCTACTTCTTAGAGATTTATTTGCATGTGTATATACGGAACGTTCGGTAATTCATGGAACACCGCTTGTATGTGGGTAGAATGGATTAAATTGAGCAGAGAAGTCTTTTGCAACAATGCAAAATTTCAAATTATTAATGATTGAAAATGGTTGTCTATAGACGTTTCTTTAATTAAAAACTTAAAAATCTATTCTACGCGAGCCTTGTTCGTGTGATCTGAGACATCTATATATATATATATAGGGTGTTAAAAAATTAGACCGACAAGCTTTGAAGGAAAATAGAGGACTTCAAAATAAACATTTTTTTTGTTAATATTATTTTTCTCAACATTTTGTTTAAATATATATATATATAGAAAATTAGTTAGAATTTATATAGAAAATGTTTTTATGCTTTAAGTAACATCCTGAATATATTTTTTATTGACATTAAAAATTGACTCTGCTTATTCGCTTTTGATAAACAGACAAGTGTAATACGCATAAATCAAATTTCGGCAAAAGTTATGACAAGTAACAGCTTCAATATGCCTCTTTAAGTAATGGGCTAACTAAATATATGTTATTGTTATTTAAATATTATCGTGAATTAAAATAAAAAAACATATATAGGATACGGCACTTAGATCGGGAAGTTTAAATATATAAAAAATAAAACACATCATAGAAATGTTTCAGATAAAAGTTATAAGGTTTGGAAGGGGGACATTTTTTGGTGACCTTGACCCGTATTCTGAACTTTTGTTTTTACCAATAAAAGTGTCTTAAATGTGACTTCTCAGCCAATCAAGTGCTTAATCACTTCTAGAGGCCACTTTTATCGATAAAAAGTTCAGAATACGGGCTCTTAACTTCGTTGTATAGTTAATGATTCATTTCACAGTGAACATTTTTTTTTAACGCAAATCGATTTCACTTTTTTATTGACATTAAAAATTGACTCTGCTTATTCGCTTTTGATAAACGGACAAGTGTAATACGCATAAATCAAATTTCGGCAAATGTTATGGCAAGTAACAGCTTTAGCAATATGCCCCTTTAAGTAATGGGCTAACTAAATATATGTTAACTTTTTATTCTGCGTATAAAAAAGTACCAGGGTAAGATCGTCGAAAAGTAAATATTTTTCCAGAAATTTTACTTTTTATTCCGACATATTTTAGTATGAAAAATATAAAATATCTCATAAAATATTCACTTTTCGATAACGTCACCTTAATACTTTTCTATGTAATAAGACTTAATTTTAATAAGCTACTCACCTCCGATTTCGATGAAATTTTACAGATATATAAATATTATAAAATATTTATAAGGAAAACACTAAGATTGGTCTCCTCTGATTTCGCCGAGCTTGATACATATTATAGTACCACCTTCCCATTAATTAACGATGAAGCGACTCGACGCACCTCTCAGCGAGAAAAATGCGTTTAAAGTTTTTCGTGTACTATACGTATCGAATTGCAAAGACAGTTTTTCAGCAATAGGCGGTGGTCAAGAATGTAAGATGATTGGCTACCACGGCCAAGGCCGCTGCCTGTTGCAGGGTCGGCCTTGCTTTTTACAATTTCTTTCATTTCCCACACCCGATTAATTTTTGTGCAATATACATTTACCAAAGAACTCAAGAATAAAACGCAAGAACGCTTTTTGCACGTCGTTTCTTGCTTCTGATGTCATTAAACAATATGTCCGCCTGAGACATGTCAACAATATGTCAGCCAAATCTTAAAGAATATATATTGCCTGTATGTCTTTTCATGTAGCGTATTTCCGGGTAGCGTATCTTAAAAGAATTCAGCGAAAGATCTGTGACGGAGATTGCACGATTATATATATATATATATATATATATATATATAGATATAGAAAACAAATGTCTCAAATATTTTGTAAATAACGTTTTATATAAAGGAAAACGTTATGCTTCGAGGGAAATTTATATTGTTTGTTCTTTCTTTTTCTCTTAAGTTTAATTATGTCGAATATACTTGTTATTTGATACATGTATGGGGAGAAGTATGTAATGCCTCGTCAGAGCAAAACAATTTTTTTATTGTATTTTATCCTGTGTAGAAATCTGCGCTATTACGTCGCCAACGTGATCGTTTCTCCAACATCACATCGACAACGATTTGTATAAAATATATCCGAAAGACCGTTTTACCAAATACACAGTGAATGGAATGAACACAAATTACATTGCGAGTATCTGAAAAACGGGGTTCCCTTCAATTCAACCGCTCATCAATAGGAACACGATTAAATCGGTTTTTAATCAAGTACACAAGTTAAGTAGCATCTCTTGGAGTGCATATACAATCAGACTACGTATTATAATATACGGATCTTACAGTCTAACACCTATACGCAATATTGTTCGGATATTATTGTTCCACAATTTATACATTGTATAAATTTATACACTGTATAAATTGTCCCACTGTTTGCCTATGGCGCGACGTGCAATGTGTCGTCGTTATATATATATATATGTATATATATATATATATATATATTTGTAAAAATATCGCATTTCGCGACTTTAATGTCTGAGCGATTGAATTAAGGCATGAGAGTAAGAAATGTGCCATATGTGCGACGACTACTTAACGTAATGCAATTTGATGCGTTTCTTTTTCTTCCTTTTTTTTTCTTTTAAGTTTTCCGTATTGAAATACGTTTGGTCGGTTTGTTATATTCTAAAAGGTATTTCAGGGCTCCACCTTCAACAATTCCACGTCGAAGATGAGAACAGCATTTGGTGGAATAGTGTGTCTTTGTCAAGGATAACATAGTTAATTTGTGTGTTTTTCATGCTAATACAGTTGAATTGTTATATCCAATTCAGAATTAAAAAGGTTACATTTGAAAAATAAATCATTCACCGTTACAAGTTATTCACTGAATTAAACAAATTCTCTACTGTCACCGCTGTTTATCTTGAAAAATAACTCAATGTTAACGTTATTCAAGAAGGAACGAGTCGTTAAAATTGTTTTTTTTTTCACCAAGTTTTAACAACTTTTTTCTCCACGATTCGCTGCTGTCAATTTTACGAACATCTTACACATTCATAAAATATAATTGTCCTACCTTTGCCAACAAAAAATAACGTTATTATCGAGTTATTAACAAAAAGAATAGAAAAACAATTTATTGAAAAAAGAAAAGTAACAATAACAGCGTTACAAGTAACGTGTTATTTCTCAACCCTGATTTAATCCATCTTATATTTTTACGTATCATCTCCCTCGTATTAAAGGATATATTCCAGGATGGCCTGTGCTACCATAAGCAAAATCTGGAGAACAAGTTAACCTAGCTCGCTCTCCAACGCACATTTGCGCGATACCTTCGTCCCAGCCTTTGATCACTAAGCCTTTCCCAATTCTGAACGTAAACGGTACACCACGGTCTCTACTGGAGTCAAATTGCTTCCCGTCAACAAGGGTACCTGTTATACATAACACAAGAAATTACTATATATATATATTTTTTTTTTCCCACAAAGATTAGATATTTTTCATTTTCATAAAGAGGTACTTAAAAATCCCGCCAAATTTGTTGGTTTGCAACGCGTTGTGCTCGCTGAGCATATTTGAAAACCGTTCAGAAAAATTGCGTTCACTCACTAAACACGTTGAGAATGGCTGTGTTGAAAGAAAAACAAATGATCAGTGAACGATCAGTGAGCGGTCAGTGATTATTAGTCTTTACTGTTAGATCCCTAAATTTAAACCAATTATGTTGACAAATTACTTAAAACAGCCGTTGTGTTTTCTCAATGCAACTAATGCTCTCACCGATCACATGCGTTTAGCAAAAATTCCTACAACAAATTGAAGCGCAACAGTCGTGTTTGTTGAACACACCCAATCTCTTATCAGTTTATAATGAATTAACTCAACGAAGATGTAATCTGAAAACTTAAGCGGCTTACAAAATATAAAGAGTCAGACAATTCCGATATAAATATTTCGCAAATATCCCGCGGGACGCAAGTGTAATTTTAAATATACGGCAATTAATTTTATCGAGATATTTACCTGTATAGTGAACAACCACCCTTTGTCCTGTCTTTGGAAAAGTTTGACCTGCACACAAGCGGAAGTTTGTCTGAGATGCAATGACACTTTGAAGTATACATTCTTAAAAGCATTTTATTTTCTCTCCAGCTGGTCTATAATTAGTTGCAGAACATTTCAGACATTTTTTTTAATAAAGAAAAAATACTAGAAACACTCCAAGTTACAATTATGGGCTCACTTAGGGCTTGTAGACCTATTGTGTAATTTTTAATGACAGTGTTGTCATCGTCACATTGTCAATGACAGGAATGTCATGCACAAGAATAATCTATGGGAGAAAACTCTAGTATACTTATTACTCTTATCTATCAGATAAAAATATAATAGAAGGCACATATATATACATTTACATATATATTGCCACTTCGGCTCACAATCGATTGTCATCCAAGCTATGTGTGGGTAGTAGCTCACAATTGTAACGTGTCATAACATGTCCCCAACTTTGATAGAAAAAAAAATTGCCTACAAATCCATTCTGTAACTTTCAACAGCAATATCATAAATGTTACATTATCATTGTCATTGTGCCAGTACAATACATGGTAGAGAAGCTGCACGATGATAAAGGTAAAAATAAAGGTAATTAAAAATTGCAAAATAGTTTTACTGAATAATTCTGCAACTAATTATATGTGAATCCGGCAATTTACAGACAGTAAAGCTGCTTACGAGACACACACTGAGGGTAGAGCAGCATTTAATTGTGACCAATTATGACAAAGAAATTTGAGTCCTTTTTGTCCTGATTGGCCAATTAAATGCCCCTCGGTGCGGTGTTTCCGAACGCAGTTCAGCGTTGAAGCGAAAGATCATGCGATTCGTATTCATTTCAACATCTAACCGCGTACGACAAAAGCAAATACACGTTCTCACACCGATACATTTCTACGAGATGTATCAATGTGTACGTAAGAAATAGCTTGCAGAACAGGCTCGAGCAAAACACGATGACGACGTCGTGCTAAGAAACAGGATCTAACGAAGAGCCCGTTCGGACAGAATTTTGCGGTGCGGAGTGAATTCCGTCCGATCAAGCTGAGAGAGAGAGAGAGAGAGAGGAAGCCACGCTCTCGGCTTTTCTTATAAAAAAAAGCTGTAAAAACTCGGACGTGAAATCTCGCGAAGCAAGCACGATCGTCCGATGGAACGTCGGGGAAAACGAGAGAGATGTCACGGTAACGGGGGAAACGATAACGAAAATCGACGAACCATAAAAAATGGAACGTATAATTACCATCTCCCTGTCGGAGAACCTCGACATCCACGCCCATATTACTGCTGTATTTCTGTCGTCGGCACCGGCGACGAGACCGTTTCACGGAGAGGATGAAAGACCGACCGAGCGCGCGCGCGCGAGAGAGAAAGAAGAGTGGCGTTTACTCGCGTCGAGATTCACCTGCGGTGCGGCAAGCGGAACTCACATAAAATGAAACTATCTACAGTACGCCTCGGGAAAATGATGCCGCTTTGGTGCGCCGTTCAATGAATACAGCAGGGTATACGGAGTACCGAGGATATCCCTCCGATGACGCGTTATAAATAAACCCGACGACCCGGCGCCGCCAGGGGGCAGCGAGAGATCGAGATGGTTGAAGTCCCTAGGGGTACTTCGGTCCGTATCGCATTATGGATTGAAACTGGATTGAAGTTTGACCAATCAGAGAAAGCTTAACTAAACTTGAGTTTAGTTAAACTTGCTCTGATTAATCAAATTTCCAATCCGGGGTCTTAAGTCCGTATCAGACTATGGATTGGGGATTGAGATTAAATTGAATTTGGCCAATCAGTGCGAAGCTAAGTGAACTCAGGTTTAATGAAATTTAGCGAACTTTGCATTAATTGGTCAAATTTCAATTCAGTCTCAATCTCCAATCCATAGTCTGATGCGGGCATTACGATGACGACGAGTGCGGAGTGAGTGAAATCAGGATTTGAGAGAATATGTATTCCTATCTACAGCTGTTATATTCCACGCTTCTGCTCTTTCCTGATGGAAATATTTTGCTGAAACACTCTCTCAATTGAGCCCCAAATTTCATCGAAACACGTAGTTTTCTGGTTCGATTCGATAAATTTTAAGATATTTAAAGCGGGGTCTACAATGAGAATTTGAGGTGCAAGATTTAAGAAGCTGACCAATCATAATTGGTTTTGCTTCTATAATTCGACTGTAATTGGTCAATTTCTTAAATTCTCACTTGTGAACCCCGCTTAATATTTCAAAAATTGTTTTACTACCTTCCAGAATTACATTTTAATTTTCATTACTTTACAGTAATGTACCATAAAAGTATCTTAAAGACGTCTTACATCACGGCATCTTAAACACGACTTCAGAAGACATCTGAAAGACGTCTTGTGTTTCGATTTTGGATTTTGTATTGTCTGGACTATTTCTTTCCAAACTCAAATGTACCTAAACAAGTAAATGATCGCATATAACGTTGACGGTTCCTAATATTGTTACGTAGCAACGAAACATGCAGAAATCAACAAGGACGGTGGCTATTTATTGACGTGTAAGTCGCACAGTTTAATTGTTAAAAGATTCTCGTAATGGCCGAGGAATAATCGTTCGTGACACGCAATCGATCTCACGCAGAACTTTTCAAACACGATGCGACGTGTTCCATTTGTTGAATTACTTAAGTGGATGCTACACTTAGAAACTTTACCGACAGAACACTGACTTTTTCTGCCAAGTTTACATCTTATTTTGTCGCGCACAATTATAAATGCTTTCACGCAGTGAAAGTACGCGCGAAAAGAAATTAGAATATTGCTATCAATAATGTGAAAAAAGACGATTAAAAATTTCAATGTGACATCTCCAGTTGTCAGACAATATGAATATTAACTCGATACAAAAATCCTGCAGCTCATACGTACTGAACATGCCGATACCCCAATCAGGAAAATTTCAAAGAATATTTTTATACTTCTTCGATCATGTTTAGAGATCTAAAAAAATACGAAAAATTTGCGGAAAAATTTTCATATATCTTGGATAGATTTCTCGTTGGATATGATAAAACAGAGTAGCACATTCACATTTTTATTGCTCTTACATTTGTTTACATTTACGTAAGATCTTTCTTACGTTATCAAATTCCCATCGGTGGTCATATAGCATCCCTTAATAATTATATATAATTATATATAAAAAAAATTCTCTAACGAGAATTAAAATAAATAATTCAACATAATACAAAGTAACTGATCTGACGCTTCAATAGTTCGTCGAAAACTGAACAATAGTTTCTTAAAGGTATAATATCAAATATTTCTAGCTGGCAAAGATATTTCTAGATCGCCGGTGGAGCAAAAAATGGACAAATATTTGAAATATCAAAGGCTGGATGATTATGTTTATCCTCGAGAAAATTGTACGTTTTATAATAAGCGGGTGCAACGAAATTATTTCTCGAGGACACGATCGTCCCTGCTTGGGGACGTTAGTAAGCATATCCGGGTTGGTATCTCCTGACAGGCCGTAATGTAAAAGAACTCGGTTCACAGGGAACCCTCGATTCCCTGCACCGTAATTACCTGTGCGTGTATTTGTATCGTGAGATCGTTAATCATTACATTATATCGCGTGCCTTCCACCGTCGCCGATGTCCCCGTACAAGAAAGGCAGATGAAGGCGGGCCTATGTAAGCCGGCACAAAACGCACGATTAATGCAGTATTCCACTCCACTTCGTTCGGGATAGATATCAATCGATTTCCGGGATTGAAGTTTTGCTTCTCGGCTCGAAGAAAGTCGGTCGAACGACTTCTACGCGCGATTACCGTTGAAATCTCGAAGATGTTGCGCCGCAAGCGGGTAGAACGCAGAGTTCAATTTGTAGTTGGGAAGATATAAGAAAAGAGGAATCACATTATATATTATTTATTAATTATTACATTACATATTAATTGTACGATGAACTTACGATAAATAATAAGGAAGAAGACGCGATGCGAAAGAGATGGTCTGGAAGAATATCTGGAAGACATCCATCCTATGAAAGAATCTTATTACGAGGACAAATTTCAAAAGAGATCATTGTCACCGATAATTGTAACTAATCGATTAATCTTTTGCTTCAGGGTGGCAGGAAGACGACGAAGAGAATGGCGAAGAAGACAGCGCCGGCGGCGCTGCAAACGGAGGTCTTGAACGACGAGGAATGGGCGAAGATGCTAAAACGGAAGGGATTAATAGGTGAGGTTTTGATAGATTTCATCATTGTGAGAGGAATTCTTTTCCACCATCTTCCATTCGCTTCTATGTTCATTTCAATTTCCTCGCGAGGGCGGAATCAAGTAGCTTTTGGTATTGTCGATGTTGTTCAGTTGTGGACATATACTCGGACTGGAGCGGTCCTTGCACAGGCATGGTGAGCATCTTGAAGAAGATCAAGATGGAGATTGGAGGTGACGCGTTGAGCTATGCCACGGTAATAGTCGTAGAAGAAAATTCAAATTACGTTTCATCAGGCGGAATGCGCGAGTTTCCGATTTACCGAGTGAATTTCCAGGTGAGCTGCGATCGCGTCACCGACCTGCGGAGGTTTCAGGGAAAGAGCGAGCCGACGTGGATGTTCATTCACGTAAGTACACTAGCGTGTGAATGCGTAAAGATAATTATCGCATCGTTGCTTTCCTGATAGGAAGGGCGAATGATCAACTTAATGTTCGGGGCGCACTGTCCGCAATTTGTGAAAATGCTGACAACAGAGCTCGAAAGGGTTCAAAACGGCGATCAGCACGAGTACGTCTCAGATATAAGAACATCCTCTTAAAGGATATTGCAAATTTATTAGCATATTTATTTGAACAATGAGCCTCCTTTTGCTAGTGCTGAATCTCACCCTGCCGCATCCTACAGATTCTCGATGGACGTTTGGGAGAGAAGCCCGGAGGAAGTGACGCGATTAAAGATCCAGGAGGAGACTAAGATAGCCAAAGAGACTGCAAGAAAGTCCCGGAAAGGTAAAGTAAGTTTGAATTGAGGTGATCGCATCGGTGTTCGCGTCCGTTGAGGTGATGCCAACAGAAATATCGTGAGCATAGAGGCCGAGGCTAAAGCGAGATACGAGGCGGAAATGCTGCATCTGACGGCGTCATTGTGCAACGAGACCTGTCTGCTGTTGTTTCCGTGGATATTTAAAGACGAAGAAGGACGCAGAAGGGATAAGAAGGCGAGTCCACCGTACGTGGAGCTAGTCGAGGAATTATTGCCGGAGTGTTACACGGTGGAACAAGAATTGCGTAAACGGCTGAACGAGGATCTGCTCCGTCAGATACTCGACGAGGTATTTCTCTCCTCCCGAAAATTTCTACCGCGAAATCATCAATGCGTTAACAATGAAACGTTGGCGTTGCAGTGTTGATAAAAATAGATTGTTTTTTTTTTCAATTCGAAACGTATACAGTCGATGTACAACTTCTCGGAGTACGTCAAGCAATTGCTGCTCGACGGCAAATGTATGTTCATACGGCTGAAGATCGCCGAGGAAAAGAAGGATCTCGACGTTCACAATTACCTTTTCAGTATCCTGTTCGACCAACCGACGTTACCGGAGTCGGAAGATGAACTGACCGAAGAGTGGTAATCTGCCTTATTAATATTGGCTCGGCCAATAATTCCATGCAGTTTTTACCAATAGACAGCCTTTTATATATATATAAATATATAGTTAATGTATTATTAAAATTAACTCTTACTTTCATAGCTACGCCGGAAGGCATTGTCCGGCTTTCGAAGTCCTTGACAAGGAAAATAAAAAATTTCCTTTCATTTGGACACCACCGAATCCTAGAAATAAGGCAGTCGTTTTCCGCACGATATTCAACGTTTACACTAATATGACATATCCGGTAAGTAGCAGACATTAGCAGATAGAAGTTGTTTAATTTAATTAGATAAATGGTGTATACATGTATATGCATATTATTCACAGTACGAAGATAAGATGGCAAACGTGCCGATAATCGTCTTCAAATACGATTACACGCGCAAAAATGACTTAAAAATGGTACTGGAAATGTTCAATGACGACGTTATCGATTTCGGTGTATTCGAGTACGATAAGCCGCCCGAGGCTAAAATGATCGCCAAAAGTATAGAGGCGTTTGAGACGAACAAGGAAGAAAAGACAGGGTATTATTCCGTTCTAATCGAAGGATTCAGCGCAACGGCGATGTGACTTTCTCTCACCGGAACTTAGAGAAGTGCACTGTGAAATCTAAGAGCTCGGAACGCTAATGAGAATTTCGACATTAGAAAGATTGGATTATTAACTTCTTCGGATCTTCATTAATTACATCCAAGTTGCACAGAGTTCTTCAGTTCTTGTCATATTTTGCAGTGACTTAGCTTAAACCGGTCACATACTGAGCGGAAAACAGGGGACGGACATCGAAAACGAATGTTCGTATGTTAACTTTGGCGTTCGTTGTTCGTTTGTTTCACTTTGAGCTGTGATTTGTTTGTATTGTTGGGTCCAAAATTATATATTAATCCAATCCAAGGCGAATTCGCGTAACAGCGAATGTTGAATTTGCTATTCGTCCGTTGCTCGTTCGCTCAATGCATGTCCAGCTTTATTTTGTTTGCATACCGAATTATTCCCTCATCTTGCAGTTACGAAATTTTCGTCTGCACGGTGAAGAAAGTAGGTTGCGAGGCATTTTTGGGCTTCGCCGGGATCGGACCGTTTCATGTGAGCGAAAACCCGGAGAAGGCTACCGAAGAGTCGAAACTGTACTTCCCGGACGTTACTGCTGTGGAGGAAACGCAATCGGACGACGAGGAGAAACCCGAAGAACTGGAAGAGCAGCAAGAGAACACAACGGAATCTTAATCTTCCCAGGCAACACACGGAGGTCTTCTGCGGACATTCTTCCGAGATAAGTGGGATAACCTGAGGATATCCAGTTTTATTCCCATTTTCTCAGAATATCCCGAAAACGAGGGAACGAGCGCCTCGAGTTATATCTGGAAATATTCTCAGGATATTCTAGGATTTTAGATTTCTAAGATTGTCCATCTGTGATCCTTGGGACATCCACAATGCAACCAAAATTAATCTATAAAATGTTATTGAGATACATATTATTTTAAGGATCAATTTAGCGTATATTCTTTTTCAAGATTATTTTAGGATATATTTAATAATGATTCAGAAAGAAACGTGTTGTATTATATATAAATAAACCTTGTTTTGTTAATTTTATCTGTATACATATGTATGTAATACAAAGAAAATATGAATATTTTGATATTTCGTGACGAGAGTGTATATCACATCACGGAAATAAAATTTCAAAACCTGTTTTCACTAAAGAAAATACGTATAATGTATATTTCTTAATCTTCACAATTTAGCTGCTTTTTCAATTTGAAATACTGTAAAAATTGTGTTAGCTTCCTCGAAAATTTTTTTCAACTTTTTCTTTTAATAACTATATAATTGTATTGATCAAACTTATTTAGAAATAAAAAGAGCTATATATTTATTTTTCTTCGTATTACGTTTGCTTATAATGTTTAAAGACGTCTTAATGACTGATTATGATTGATGTTAGAAATGTCAATAAGATATCATTAACGTCATTTGACGTCACCCTATCTGGTTTTTTTGATTATGTCCCGATTTTTTGAAGTCGATATCCCGCCGATAATTGGCTGATCGAGAGTTGGTCATCCTATGTACAATGTACTTACCTAAGATTCCAAGAGAATGAAAAAGAAAAATTGCAAGGAAATGCAGAAAATTTCAAATAAAAAAAATAATTTCAAGTTTCGTAGTCCTTTATTTCATATTATAAATCTAGTTCTGCTTCGAATAATTTAATCTCTTACGTACTAGAGTTGGATAACATATTACAACACACTCTGTAAAAAATACTCGTGACAAAATTTAATTATGGTGGTGTTACAAATTCTAAAGTAAGGTTTAAACTTTTTTATTGTATCACCGATTCATTTCCTGTTACAGTACTATATACATAGAAGATATTAATAGCAATTCATCGTCATATCGATAACTTTTTACATTATATAAGAGAAGCTGTATATTTTTAAGGAGAGTTGCCTCTTTAGACGCAAATTTTGTAGCAAAGAGAGATGGTTTCTCAAAAACTGTATTTTTCGTCTGAATCCAGTCCTAAATCAAGTATATCTCGATAATTCGATATAAATTAATTTAAATAGTAAAAGTAGGCGATAAAATTCATTGAGCGAAGCAGCGTATAATTTTGCAATCGATAGAAGCGGTAAAACGCGATAACGAAGTTCTTCGAGTAACACGAGAAATACAATAATTGTCTTTCATCCTTAATTTTACAGCCCTCATTTTATACACATTGTTCGATAATTAGACAGATTAATGAGATCATGGCGTTGAATTTAGAAATATTTACATTTCCTATACCAATAGTTCCTCTCTTTTTCTTTTGATCTTAGATAACTTAAATTTCAAAAGTTAGAAATAATTTATAACACTTTTCAAGATAGAAAATACGTCTTTCTGATAAATGCAGCCGCATGGCTTTATCATTATGATTTATTATATTTATCTCTCGCTTTTTATGATCCTTTTCTAAAGAAAGTAGATGACAATTGAATATCTCATCCAAGTGGTATTTGTATTTGATACGAGTACTCGTTGCTTTGTTTGTGAGCTTAAATCTATCGTTAAAAGCATTATCGCTTTTACCAAGTATAACTGAAACTTATTTTCTTTACAAACATAATACAGGCTTCGATCGTGATAGGAAGTATAGTAATAATTTCATCTTAGAAGTGGCAATGCGTTCTTGGAATAGCCAGAATAATTTCCAGTGTGATAGATATACATAACCAAACGATGCTGTGAATATCGACCAAGTTATATCGTTGCAAGAGATAATGTAGTGAACGAGAATCGATTACAACAGAAAATAAGAGCTACTTATAGTTGACAAGTGGTAGCCATCCATCGGCAAAAATCGCACGGAATTGGCCAAATGAGAGCTATTTTATAATATCATAATTTTTCTTTTATTTAACTTCCTCCTTTTATTTTACAAATTTAAAATATTTGTACACAAAGAGGTTTTCCACCAAAGAATATTTTAACGATAAATAATAGTTTTTACGTTCGGTAAAAATAAATCTCGTATTTCGTGTCGGAAAATCCATCATTGAAATATTTCTCGGTAATGGCGAACCGACTTGTATATTGTAACGTGAATTACAGTTTACTGTTACGATGATGCCACCTATCATACTGTATTCTTGAATTTTCCATACATTTTCTCTCCCTTCCGTACTTCCTATTTATAAATATACATATGCGTATATAAAGTAATAATTTCATTTTCTTAATACTTATACGCATACACATGCATATATTGTGACAAAATTTGGTAAACTACCTTGATTAATGTAAGTTTTACATAACATGATCAAAAAATAATAATGTATACATTAAGAAATCATGTTTCACGAGTCAATCACGTTCAAAGGATGCGTGAAATAATTGACGGATAACGTTAATATGCATATGTTATAAATGTCTCAATCGTTATAATCCTAATGTCTTTGTATTTGAAAGTATTGAAAGACAGTTTGGCTCAGTAAACTATAAATTAACAAAGGATAGCCTACTCTCTGGTAAGTCAACGAAAAGAATACTGGAAATTGAATTCTGACTTTACACTAAATATAATTACAAACAATATTATAGTATATCCTTATGTAACGCGAAAGACGAGCCCTTCCTTCGATTTGCTAGTAGAATGACTATACCTGAGAAACGAACGTCTCAATTGCTTTTACGCTACACAGCCGAGAAATCGTTTCATAAACTTAGTCTATGCAGACAACCTCTTTCTTCGCAAGCCAATTGAGTGCAAGTAAAAAGCAGATCAGAAGTTTTTCCTGTCCTGTTGTAAGTTACGAATAGTTTTAACGCTTTATTTTTTTTTTTACCACATTTCGCTTATTGATTTTGCGTTCGTCGCTCGCCGATAATATTTTCTAACTTCCGCGCGACAAAAGTCGTTGTCTTTTTGGTAGGGGATGTAGCCTCGGCCATTTCTACGTCGGTGTCGTCCGTAAGTAATCGCTTCCCCACGCCTTTTCTCGCATCAACGGATATCATCATTCTATTGATGGCTTCTAAGTCCTGAAAAACGAGAAGAACGTTAGAAAATTAGATGTTTATATATTTAAAAAATATTAAAATTAGTAAAAAGGTATTAAAAGTATTAATAAGTAATAAAAATTGTAATGATTCGTTGCTTCTTAAGTAACGGTAAAGAGTTACTTTGGTCCACGAATAAAGATAACGCGTCATTTTCCAAAAAAATAAGTTTCCCTACCTAGTCTTTCCTATTGAGAACTAAACTTTGACGTTGCGAAAATCACACACGTAAAAATTGCCAGGAAAATTCTGTAGATATTCCATCAGAAGAAATGATCAAAAGTCTAATAGGAGGTAAACGATACACGGATATTTCGGTGCAACAAAATCATTACTGATGATTGTATCACATTAAAATACTCGTACGTTGGCTCTTATTGGCCCTGGAGTCACGTGTGATTTCTCCCTCCGAAATATTTTGATTGAAGAGTTCGAAGTTGATCCCGGTCTGCGATAGGTGTTTTAAAGCCTCGAGAAATTGACCGGTCACAGTCGAGTGCGAATAGTCAACTGTGATTGGTCAATATCTTGAGGCTTCAAACACCAATCGTAGGACCGGGATATAAATTTACACGGACTCTTTACCTTGGCGGGGCTGCGACTGAAGCAATAACTTAATTGCGGCGCCGGCGACGCGCTGATAGCTTTCGGATCTAAGGTGCGCGTCATGATACTGCTGGTGACGCGCCTCACGGGCGAGCTAGCGGGCGGCTTTCCCTTTGGCAGGGGGCTCAGCGAGAGATTCATAACGCTGCCGCGAGTCGAGCCAAATCGATTCGCGAATTCCTTCACCTCCGGCACGTATATCGTGTTGTAAAATTTGATCAGGTCGCCGCGCGTCACGCCGTCGAAGTTCTGCGATGTTCCAATCATGTTCGTCGGGGTCGGTGGGGTCGCGTTCTTCTCCGGCAACGCGCCGTTGCCCTCCGTTGGTCTCTCGCTGCCGCCGGGGACGGTTGTCGGCTGCTCGTTACCCGAGACCTTATCGATCAGCACCGACCTGTAGATGTGTGACTCCGCCTGTGGCTGCAGACGGTAACACCGCATGATCTCGGTGAACGAATTCTTCTCCATCTTCACGAGCTTACATATTACGTAGGTTGCACACATTAATATCTGATCGAGATGCCGGTCTTTCATTAACTTGGTACGCTCCTTGATCGAATACTCGAAAATCGTCCAGATCTTCTTCTTGTCCTCCTCCTCCTCGATCTCCAGCGAATTGCACAGGTCCTGCATGCGCACGCAGGCTAGATTGTAGAACTTCCGGAAAAACAGCGCGACAGAGCCCGTTCTCCTCGGTCTAACCGCGTCCCTGTTCGACGCCTGCACAGCTTGCTGTACCACGGCTGTGCCGCTGCTCGATGCCTGTGTAACCGACGCTTTCGAAACTGCGATCTGATCCGGCACCAGGAGTATCCTTTGGTTACCGTCTATCATGACCTTCGAAGACAGTACACTCTGCCCGACTCGCAGCACACTTTGACCGGTACTTCTGTTGTCCGGGAACAACCGTTTCTTCGCTATGCCAGATACCGCGATGGGAGACTGAAATCTAAACGGTGAACGATTCCTCGTATTGTTCTTGATTAAAAAAAAAAAAATAGATCTATTCTGTAACTAAGGTCGGTGTCGTTGTCATTGCACAGATGTAACATAACAGTAAAGCTGCATTGAAAGTTGTTAAAAATTACAGAATACACCTACAAATGACAACAGTGTAGAACGATTCACGTTTCATTTCATCATAAATTAAGGCTTCCGCTACGGTTGTCGCTCACTTGATGACGTCAGAAGCGAGAAATCGTATGCCAAAATATATCGTGATATTACGCGAAGATAAAGAAAAATATATGTACAAAGTGACGCTCGTGATCGATTCAGCATACACTCGTGAAAATATCCAAATGTTTTTCTTTAACTCCTCGACCAACCAACTAACAGCGGGAAATCAGCGTTCAAATTCTGAGTTGAATCATACCTCTCTGAAGCAGAAGAGATCGGACTCTGAACATCATGATGAGCGCCCCGATCAAGAGCGATTCGTCTTAATACAGGTTGCCCAGGTGTGTTCGGATCGACGGTCTCCAAAGTTCCGGGCAGAGACACTTCCTCGCAGCTCGGCACGCCATCCGCCAGAGATTCGATGGTCTGCCACAGAGGACTGTCGCTCTGCCAAGCCAGCGACTCCAGTATCTTCTCCTCGATCTGATTTAGATGCTTGACAACCTCCCGCGACAGCTGATCCTCGGTTCTCACAATAATTTCTATGACCTTGTAGAAATAGTATGCATCGAGATTCAAGGCTCTCAGTATCCACGGGAACACTTTGTCGTTGCTCTTGTACGAATATACCACTATTTCGAGGCAGCAAGCGAACAGACACTGAATGAAATGTTCGTTTGAAAGGAGATTCTGCGACAGACAAGATATCGATACGTAAGATAAAGTTGTCGACCTCTTCGAAATCAATTGTTGATCACGGTGTTTTTTTTTTTTTTTTATCGAACTTACAGTCATATCGTAATTCGGCTTCTTACGCTTTTCATCGTTCAAGATCATTTCCAAGAGTTTATAAAACAGAGTCTGACCCATGAGAAGACGTTTTTTGCCAAAATCCGACTTCGAGTTGTCATTCGCGGCGGCACTCGCATTGTTGTTATAATTCGCACAGAACAGTTCGCCGAGTTGCTTGACCTTCGACTCGATCAAAGGCTTGACATCTTGGGAGCAATTATTGAGCATTTGCAAGAGACCTTCACTCGGTGCAGACTGTCCAGCTATCAAGGCTTGCAACTTAATGACGCTCTGAGTCGCTGTCGACACCGGCGTTATCATATTGGACATATCCTTGGATCGAAGATATCTACGGCCGGTCAGTGGCGTAGGAGGCACCAAATATTGTATCTGCTGGAAGAATGTTAAGTTATCCACTCTCCAATTTGCACGGGAAAAGAATGTATGTACGCATATGTCATCTTAAGAGAATAAAAGTGTCTAAGCGGATGTTGGTCTTCTCCTTAAATTTACCCCGGCGTGCTGTTCTTTCTTCATCTGCAACTGTTCGTGGAAATCGTCGATGTTCATCATTTGCGTGGACGAGCCGATATTCTCACTAGCGTCGTGACCTGAAGGTAAGAATCGTAAACCAATGTTAAAATTTCGCTTAGTAATTTATGAAATACAATCTTACCACCACATACATTGCACATTTCGCATTTCACAAGATGCATTTCTATGATTATACTGATTAGCTACAGCGTAAAGTATAAAAATATCAAGTTGACAAAAATGTGCGATTAATAAATAGAGAAGAACTGATTAGCTACAGCGTAAAGTATAAAAATATCAAGTTGACAAAAATATGCGATTAATAAATAGAGAAGAAAGGAAATTTAATGAAACACACAGGTCAATCATGCTCGCAAATTCTTACAAACCCACCTTGTGAGACTACATGCTTAGCAATATTTTGGCTGAATATATCCGAACGTGATATTCTCATCATTCTTACTCTCCTCCACTCTGCTGTAAAGCACAACCGTGACAAAGCACAAACACAAATTTGTTAAAAGAGAAAAAGAAATAATAGATTAAATCAGGGTTATTATATTCTTAGTAATAAAACTCTTTTTTTAAATTTTTCCCTTTTTCCCCCCCAACTCAAAAGGTCGCCTCTCTATAAGTTCAGCTTCATAGTAACATATATAAAGTGTTTGTAATTTGCACGACTACATCGTGCTGATATGAGCCATTCTATAAACAGGATTTTAAAAAAAGGCTCTTGGTTCCTCGCTTTGGCTGTCTTTGTTTGATGTCGTCGGAAGTGACAAATCGCAAACCACAATATATCACGGTATGCGTGGAGATAAAACAATACATGCACAAAATCGCATTCATGATCGACTCAGCACACTTGTAAAAATATCTGGACGCTTTCTTTTAATTTGAACAGTTATCAAACAGTTAATAAACAGCCGTAAAATTGACGTAATGAAAATCATGAGTTATGGGTTAAAAACGTGCGAAAATCATGAAATATGGGTTAAAAAATTGCACGTTACACTAATTTTCGACTATTTATTGGTTGTTGAGGTTAAAGGAAAGAATATTTTTTACAAATATGCCAAATCGATAATAAGAGAGTCATCTTGTGCGTATATTCTTTTATCTCTGCCGTATACCGTAACATATATTTAGCATATGATTTGTCGCTTTTGACGTCATCAAAGAAAGACATCCAAAGCGAGAACCCAAAAGACTTAGAGTGTGTGTAAATAAATAATACTTCAAGAAATTACAATAATTAGGAAAAAAGGGAACAAAGGGTTAAGATAGCAAATAAAATTTTTAAGAACAAACTGCAAACTATCGTTTTATATAAAAATGATTCTTGCTTAATCGTATTAATAATTGTAGAAGCATAATAGGCTAGCAAAAGCATGCATTGTAAAAACAAGCTTATCGCGTTGCGAACGCATGTTCCTTGCATCTAACGATGCTAATTATACAGCACTATTAAATATAAATATATATACAAACACATGAAGTATAGATATTTGCATAAGAAAATATAAGTTTCTAACATAACTTGGGTAAAAAATTTTACCTAAGAATATTCTCTCATCGAAATCTCCAACACTCAGGACACGTTGCTCGTAAGCCTTGTTAATTGCTTTGCTGTTACCATCGAAGTTCACAGCTTCCAGTATACCGGAGAAGTTGGATTGATCGCCACGTAGAATTTTCTCATTGAAGAGTTTGTTGATGTAATTCTTCATGTAATATTCCTTGATTAGTTTAGCCTCGAGAGGAATAGCATCGTGACGCTCACACAACAAACTGACGATACAGTCTGCCGTTTGCGGCGGAGTGTAGTTCTCGTCGTTGAAATTTGCCGGCAAGCCTATCAAGAAGAGAGGAATGACAAAATACAGAATGCTTTCGCGAATCAAATATAAATTCAAAGTGTGCTGATTACTGATTGTGTGTGTGTGTGTGTGTGTGTGTGTATGTGTGTGTGTGAGAGAAAGAAAATGCTTACCAGGGAAACTAGAATTAAACAAATCCTTCCTATTCGCTAACAAAGCATTGCTATAGATGAGATCACAGCAGACAAACAGAAGATGATAGGAATTAACAAGATCGTCTGAGATGTCGGGGATTGTACCCTTTATACATATAAATAACGTCCAACAGAATTCAAAGACTCTAACGGGTGTGCAAGGCACTGCCTTGTGTCTCCTCGATCTAGGAGGCCTTGAGATGTCCTCCCTTGGGTCTTTGAATATGTCCGTGAATATCGGTTGGTATTTCTTAAATATAACCATAGAGACCGAGAAATTCCCTTCCAGCTTCTTTATCTTGGTGCGAAAGTCCTGCGGCATATTGGCCATGTCTGCCCATGATTTGCTCTTTTTGAAGAACTCTATTAATGGTAGATTACACAGTTGCAGGAGACGCGTCAGCGACACATAATTGCCTTCTACGTTGGCGCCTGTCCTGCCCACTGTGGGTATGGAGGACTTTCTACAGGCTACGTACAATGCACACCCTATCCAGTGCAACTGGTCACCCTGGAAATGCATTCAAAATATATCTTAGATTCTAACATAATGAATATGTCACATGATCAAGAGGAGAAACAAAATATGTAGAAGCAGCATTACTGGGAGAGAAGTGAGAGATTTCCGGGTGAAAAGGTGTCGAGACACTGATGAAGAACAATTCGGATTCTCGCGGCGAGGATTATCGTGAGAAGGCAAGAACTGTGAACAAACATTCTCGGATCAGACGCACGCGATCCCTCGCAAGATTGATGCGCCAAACTTTCAGCCGCCGCGCTTTGAACAATTTCAATGAGAAACACGCGCAGCGGAAAACCACCCGTGACTCGTTTCGTTCTCGCGGGGGAATATCGGCGATTCGGTAATACTACGCGACGCAGAGACGCGAAATGTCACGATGTTTCACGGCGTCGAAAACACTAGTCTGTGTAAACGGCCCTCGTCGTCGGGACGACTAAGGTACAAAGAGAGAGAGGAAGAAAGAGGGAAAGAGAAAGAGAGAGAAAGAGTAAATACTTGCCTCGAGAGTGTAGTTCTGCCGTATAGTTTCGTAGGATTTCCAAGCCTCGGACGCAGCCACCGCGTCCATATTTAGCTTCTGGCAGAGATCCTGATGCCGGCTGTAGGTCGAATCCTCGATATCGTCCGACTGCCCCATCTCGACGCTCAATTTCCAGCGTAAGATCCGACACGAAAAACGGCGGAATAAACTCTCCTCTTATACCGCCATACAAAAACTTCGCTGCGCCATACAAGGTTGCCGCGGGGACTTGGCGGGAAACGACACAAGCGCCAAGTTCTTTGCCATGTTGGCGGGAAACCCGGTAGTGTCGCCGCCGGTACTCGGCACATCCAGTTTTTCGCGTGTGTATTCGTCGATGCGCGCGTCAGTGGTTGCGTTCAGGAAACGCAAGCGAAGGCTGAAGGCGGCCGTACATAACGGCTGCGTTCAGAAAACACAAGCGATCAGTGAGCGACCATCCAATGAACGCATTGTTATTCCGGTAAAGTTGTACGCTTATTGGGATGGCAGCCGGTTGACCAAGTCTCTATTGGCTACGAGCTATACCGACCAGCCGACACAAGAAAAACTATAATATTTTATATATTTAAATATAATAAATTTAGTTTTTAGTTTCTTCTTGAAACTGAAACCTTTCGCCTTATTAAAGTATGTGCGATGAGTTTATCTTATATTTAAATTGAAACATTGAAGATTAGCACAGACCCCTGCGCATGGATGTCTATTAAGTTAGTAAGTTTAATGTGGCCACAGAGCATGCCTATGTCGCTACATTTCATCGATATGACAGATTTCCTAACCTGTTAGGTTGTCAACTTTAACGATTAATATCTCGTTTCACGGGCAGAACGATGTTTTTTTCTGCCAGATTCTTTCGTTTCGTGCAAAAACACGTCAAATAAGCGTAATTTCATCGATATTTGTGCTAATGTAGCTAAACTAAATAGTTACCATTTCATCTTACGCCTGTATCAGATTACGGATTGGAGATTGAGATTGGAGATTGAATTGAATTTGGCCAATCAGTGCAAATTAACTCAAGTTTAGTGAGATTTAGTGGACTTTGCACTGATTGGTCAAATTTCAGTTCAATCTCAATTTCCAATTTGGAGTCTGATACGGGCTTTATAATATTAATCATAATCACGTCATAAGCGTGTACAAATAATTTATGTACATCTACTCATGTGACGTTAATCACGTAATGATCTTTAAAAAGATATTAAGCCCCTGCCGAAATAGTGGATAGAAAACGATAAAATAACATTAGATTCAACATGGATTTCAATGTAAATCAATGTAAATTAATCAAATCGATCCGTAGGGAATATTTTAACATATAGACTTTCTATAACATGTAATATTTTATCATAACTTTATCATAACTATTTATTAGAATCATGTGTGGACATTCATATAATAATTAAATATATAATATAAAGGAATAAGTAGAGTAGATATAGGAGAACTAGAATAGCTAATAAGGAAACAAATAAAAAAATATAAAAGAAAAAATAGAAGATACTGCAAAGAACGATTATAGAGAAAACATCTACAAGCGAACGGGTGAAACGTGTTAATCAATGCCAGCAGATCAAACGCTACGTAAGAACTGTTATACGAGCCGCCGTGAAGCTTCGCTTCACGAATACAACAAACGGTTGCTTCGTTAACGACGGAATACACATACATTGTAGAATTATCCCAGTCGGTTCGTAAAACTACTTTTTTAAGGATCCTTCCAAATTTTAACTGTACATTGATAGAAATACTAACCACGTGTCTGTAAAATTAGGAAACGATGAACCGTTCGGAAGCTGAGATATTCGCAACTAAAATTGATACTTTTTACATATGTTCCTTGAACTTAAATGTTCCTCCTTTTAATTTCTATTTTCAATTTTTTCTACGCTTAAGATTTTAGTGGAAAACTATTGTGATATTAAGGACTAATATATAGATATTGTACAAAGATTTTATAGTTATTCACCATTTAGCCTTGAAAATATAACGATAAGAAATTTACAACTTATAATAATATTCGTATATGTGCTTATACATATATTTAAATATTTTTGTGCTATTTTTTATTATGTACGCATCTTTATTAGATCAATTGACATATAAATAAAGTTTTAATAAAAAAAATAAATCATATCTCGTTTGTAATATTACGTATTCATTTATCTTAAATTCGCCCCAAATTAATTTGTATTATTTAGATAGTTAAATATAAATTGCAGGAAAGTACTTTTTTCAGTAAATAATAAATAAAATTATGAAAGATCTTAATATCATAATATCACTATTGAAAATCCAAATTTCTCTTTACGGAACAACTATTTTAAAGGTTTAAGTGCAGGATCCACAAAATTGACGTAGGGCCAAAATTTCGATTCATGTCATCTCAAAGAGATCTCGAGCGTCCCAATCTGAGTTGAAATGTTGATGCTACTCTGACACTTTTAAGGATAGTTTGCATTTACTTAAATAGCTTATAGACTAATAAAAACCTATCACAACGATACTCACATTTATTCTCTCCCTTGAACTTTTAATTCTACAGATTTAATTTTAATGTTGCCCTGAGGAACCAATTTTGACGCTAAAATAGCGAAAACAGACATTTGAGACATCAACAGAGACATCAAAGTAGAAATAAGTTATATTATTAGAATTAAAAATTCTTCCTCTATTTTGCTATCTCAGCTCTGACTGTGTTGTGGAATTAAAGATTTGACACAAGGCGAAAATTTCGACTCGGTAAACGGGCGGATTCGATCGAGACTCGAGACAAGTTCTCTCTCTCTCTCTCTCTTCGGACTCCTCGCATTCGTCCCGCCAAGGCTTTCCAAATGATCCAACGCCTCGATTCCACCTCCCATGGTGTCTCTCATATGTCCGACAACACCGAACGAAACATACCAAGATCCTGTAGGTGCGCGACAGCGCGGGGAGGAGCGGAGCTTGCTCCGCACGAGTTAACTCCGCAATCTCCGTTATGTCGGAGTCTCCGCGAACTCCGGGGGAAGGGCAGAGCGCGCACTCTCCTCTTCGAGGTCCCTCTCTTTCGTTCGACCATCACGATTTTCCATCGTCGTTCGCAGCAAGCGTGTGCAGCCAGTATGCGACCGACCGCGCGATCGCCGACGACGCGAGCCTGTGCGTGCTGATCCCAGCTGCTGCGACCTTTTCCCTCTTTCCGTCTCTTTCTTCGCCTCTCTCTCTCTCTCTCTCTCTGTGGCGTAAAAAAAGAGAAAGAGAGAGACGAGGAAAACGGGAGCGCGGGGTCTCGTTTGCCTGAGAGTGAGAGAGAGAGAGAGAGAGAGAGAGAGAGAGAGAAGCCGCGAATTCCGAATCGCGGCCGTCGACTTCGAGGGAAGGTAAACGCGAAAACGAGATCGCCGACGAGATCGCGGACGATCCGCCGGCATCACGATGATGATAGCCACTACGAATGCACGGTGATCCGGCGGTGATCCACGACATTTGCGTGTGTGTATGTGTGTGTGCGTGTGTGTGTATATGTATCCATCTGTGGTGTCCGCCGTGCGACGTCCGTGGTGCGTCCATTACACGGGGACGGTGATGCTGTTGGCTGACCAACGGTGAAGCGATACCCTCCGCGAGCGCGAGCTAATCCTACTGCCAGCGTCGTCGGGAGGCGATCGTCGATCATGATGTAAGTCTCCTCTTCCACCACGACGATGTCTGAAACGATATCTCTGACGAGAGTCTCGGACGTTTGCGTCGGGATAATCGATTCGTCTGCGGACGGAGCGACTTTCTTCACCGAGCAGCGACGGCGGTTCAGCCCAGATTTACAGCAAATGATTTATCGTTCATACATGTTATAAGCTCAATACCGAATACCAATACTGTATACGTAACATATCGAGAACATTCTCACATCTCTCGTAGTACACAATCACGTCTCGTGTATCTTCGGAATATGGGAACTGTCTACGCACGGTTTTAGAATTGGAGCAGCGTTTTCAGCCGAATGTCAGCAACCGGCTTCCGACTCTTGGTCCGGTAATGGTATGATATCCATATAATAGGATCGGTTTAATATTACCGGAGCCAGTATCAACGTGACGCTGATTACCGACATTAGCCTGACATTGCGTGACGGGCCGAAAGTTGGCCAACTGAGCCGATGTCGTGCTCGAATAGTGGTTTTTCGCGGGCGACACTTCCGGTACCCGGGCAAGAATCGACTAACTTATTTGGGCCGACATGGCGGTCGAATAATGACTGTCAGTTTGCCGTGACATCGCCAACATCGGCCCAAGGGTCAAGCAAGAGCATCGGCAAGTTATGTCTGCACTGAGAAAAAGATTTCGTCGGATTTGATCAATTTTATTGCATTCAAACGTATTTCATCATTGGCACGCTCCAAAGAAACTAATGTTTCGATTAATAAGTACGATTGTTAGACTTTTCAACAAAAATATGTAACCTTATCTTAAATAAAAAAATTTGTCTGTAAAACGAAAGATAATTTTCTTATAAAGAAATTACTTCTTTCATTTTACATATTTATTGTAACCGATTAATATTTAGTTAAAAGATATTTCAAATAATAGTGTTCTTTCCGTTAAATAATAGGGTTCTCTTAAATAAGACAATCAAATTTTCACTCAAACAAATAATACTTTGTATATGTTGTTTCTATGAAACAAATTTTAGTAAAATAGAAAATACTAAGTCCAAAGAAATCTTTTTCTCTGAGCGGATATCCATTAACGGATATGTATGAAAACGTCATTAGGTTATGAATCTTATCTATCTCAATATATTTAGCATGTATCTCGAAAATATTTTGAGAATATATGTAATATACTTTAAGGCTATATGCGTGTGTATATGTGTACGCATATTTATGGAACATTCTTCGGTTCTATTTATACTGTATGACTCATATTGTGAACGCGCTAACAAGTTAACTTATTAGTAGTTCTGAAAAGGAATTTTGCTATAAATATGCATGATTCGATCGATTTTTCCTAACAGAACTTGTTATCACCGCGTTTAGAATACGAACAATACTGAGATTGCTCAGATCTCTCGATTTGTTTTGTACGCTAATGTTGTAAGCGCGTTCAGAATATAGGCCTGTGGATTGGCTAGCTAGGCGAGAGCGAACTCCATGCCTCGGAGACTTCGATGACCGCAAGAAGATGTCTTGCTTCGCGAGACACGTTGCTTGTTTCGTTCGCCGTCGGGGCGGGGGNCGTCGCTCGTCGGATTGTTTCTCTTGAGGGATTTTCGCGAAGCGACTAAAGAAAAAATCTACGAGTAACGCATGAATTATATCAATTAATTAATACTGGAGGATCCAACGTTCCCACTAAAACAAGGACTCGTGAAGAGGATCTCTGATCTGTCGGTTTCATGTTCACGGAGGAAAACAATTTAAATGAACGGCAAATTTTATGCCGTAACAAATAAATAAATGTACCGAGTGTTTTCTAAATACCGCCCGATATTCTAGCGGTTGATTTTTGAGGTCATTTTACGGAGAATTGAATTGAACATATATGACCTTTCTTCGATAAAATGACCTTAAAAGATAACTTTTAGACTATTAGACAATACTTAAGAAATTCCCTGTATATTTATTTTATTTGCTACGACGGCATAAAATGTATTATTCCCCTAATTAATTTTGTTTCATATTTTTTTTTATTTATAAGTTCGCGACGCAAGCTCAAAATCGAGGAACGGTTAATCGAAAAAGCATTTTCGAGGAAAATTATTGATCAGGTATGAAGAAAAAGGAAAAAAAACAACAATGACGAATAAGTACATCGCTTGTTGATAATCGAATCTTGAAGAATCCTGAAGTCATGCGAGAGTAAGAGTCAAAAGTCCCCACATCGTGCTATATCTTATCGTCATTGACAACCTGGTTGACATTTAACATCATGATTCATGGAGTAAGAAAGTCGAGCCTTAGGTAGATCGTTTTGGCTCGAGCGTCAAGACATCGCCTCCGCGATGCCTTTCAATCTGATTTGAATCACTGATAAGAAATAAAACAAACATACACTGACAAATAGACAATTATCGCCTTTTTTTAACTTATTATTACCGTTCGAATTTTACGTAAAATACCGTCCGTGAAAGATTTGTGTAATGCGGGCAAATGTATCTCGAATCGTTTAGAAGCATTTTTTTTTTAATAATTGATTATGATCATTTTAACAAATAAAAGTACCATTTGAATTTATTATTACCGTCTTAACTTATTTATTATTATTGTTCGAATTTTATTAAAAATGTCGTTCAAAAGAAATTTGCTTATGCGGGCAAGCGTATCTCGGATCCCACAATTTATCTTACTTTTATACTTTTTAATTTCAAAATACAGTTGCGTTTCTTAATATAAAGCGTCTTCGTGTTTATTCATGAGATATATACACGTGTGCATAAATCATTAATAATACCTTTACATCTTTTGTAACCGTTAATCGATATTCCGTAGGAAAAGAAAACGGAAAAGAGAAGAAAGACACTTCGGGAGATTTCGTTTCGAATTAAAATAATGAGAAAACACGCGAATTAGCGTCTCACTAACAAGTACCTCGAGAGCACCAGCAAGTGTAACTTTTATGCAACCCGCTCTTCGTCGCATTCCTTGCAGAATATGCGCCGCGCTGAGGATGCGCCTGGCCGGCAACGGAAGCGCAAAAATGCATTCCCCGTGGAAGCGTGGCTATCGCGTTAGATCACCCTACCCGGTGATTTCTAATCCGGTATTACTTGCCGTCCCTTTCTCACTAACGCGCTCGCGCGCGGTGAAAGAAGGAGAGAAAGAGAGGGAAGGAGAGAGAAAAGTCGAAGCCGCACGTCTTCCAGTCGATATTCTTTTGTCCTTAAACCTGTTTATCCGACATGGTAATTAAGCGTAGAATTTGTCCTTACGAGCCAGCTTCGGCGACACTGTGGACACATTTCACCCACGGATAACGATTCGTCTCGAATCAAATATAGTGGTGCAATATCAAAAGATGCCCACTATATTCTAAATACTAGGATGTTTATATAAAAATTACATTGAATTATTGAAAATTGGCACTTGATAAATCGATCACAACGGAAACTGTTATGATTGCTGCAATATTCTCTATGATTACAAGAGAAATGTATATGTAATCAAATTAAATAGATATCGTATTAAAAACCGGTGGAAATCAAATATCGATTGTATAAAAGTGCCGCTAGGCTGCACCTTCCGTCGTATTCCGAAGAGCGCACAATATTTGTAAAATAATTTATAAATATAGATATTAAATATATTGCAAATATTCAAATGTCCAGGAAAGTCAAGTATGAGAGATTTCGGTAAAAATTCAAAAATATTTAGAATATTTGTGATAAAAACACGATCTCCCACTTGTGAAACCGTATTTTAATTATTTGTGAAAAATACTCTTCATAAAATGTTTTTGAATATTTATCATAATTTTTCTCATGCCTGATTTTCTCAGACCCTGTCCGCGGGTGTACGCGAGCGAAGTATCCTCGAGAAATCTGTTCGCGATCCTTCCCGCGATTGTGATCATGTCTCGAGCATGTCCCAGGATCGCCGGGTGACCTTGCGACAGTATGTGGAACGAAGAACGAAGAACAATGTCGTGTTCATTTAATGGCTGGCCGTTGACGCGGGGTTATTCGCCGTTGAAAATCGTTGAGTCGAGCTTGCCGAGTGAATTCTCCTCGAAGAAGAGATCCGGCGAAACAACGGGCCACCGCTAGTAGTTCCGATGTATACAATAATAACGCAGGCTCGACGCGAGTGTTTGGCTCTCAGGGTCAAAAATGTAAAACTCTCGCGCGAGAAGAAAACAAGGAGCGCGCGAGAGTTCTCACGTTTAAAGAGAGGATCTGATTCTCTGTCAGAGAAATTCGAGTGTCGGAAAGCGCATCGTAATTCTGGGACACCTTGTATACACATGGTATCGAAACACCGTTATATCTGTTTCAACATTGTGAAAAAATGCTCAAGGAGCGCCGAGTGCGACCATATCAGGCCCGCGAAGAGGCCCATGAAAGTTAGTCAGCCACACAAAACTGAATGAAACTCGAATGGGAAACCGTTCCGTTTCAACAAGACGCTATTCGAGCACAAATGTACGATTGCGACGAGTTTTTCTCGACTTCCGGTTCTATCGCGATATCTTGCGCGATTGAGAATTATTTTTCAGAAAATTTTCCAACACACGAATTCTCCAAGAATTCCTTGGTTCCATTATACTTGTTAAAATTCACAGCAATATTCTAAATTATTTTTTTGTTTATTTATTTATTTATATACTTATGGGAATCATCCATTTGGTATGATATATTTAACGTAATCATGATGAGAAAGAAAGGAGGAAAGACAAGAAAAAGAAAAAAGGAAAAATTATTTATTAGTTTATTATTTATTTATTTATATTATTGCGCCTCTCTCTCTCTCTCTCTCTCTCTATTTTAGATACATGGAAATGCTCATCAAATCGTTGGTGACTTCATTAGTTTAGATGATTTTCATTTTACAAACGTAAATCAGACAATTATCTGAAAGATAATAGAAAGTCGTGGCTAACGATGGCAGATATTTTGTTCAAGCACAGCACCATGTACTATTTCGTTACTATTTCGTTACTATAAATGAAAGAAGAACTTTCACGTGTCCCCGATAAATAACTTGAATCCGTGAGTGATAATTTAATCGAATCGAAGAGCGGCTGTCGACGAAAAAACTGCAGCAAACACGAGCGTTCACTCTCTTTTATCTCGGAGGCAGCGAAAACTGTTGGCGCGTTTTTTCGCACCGAGCAAATTGTATTATTGCATTTGTGCGTCTGTAGCAAGTGGACTTTCCGCGATGATGAAGCTGAAAACAATTTTACGGAATTGCCGAAGAACGATGACGACGATAAATTATTCGAGACTCATCGTCGGTAGTGCGTCGTCTCGGAGAAGCTGAGTCGTCGTACGCGCACTTTCAGAGCACTCTCTCCACCGTGGCATTTCAGACTGGGACAATACAACACGATGAAATACGCATAATTCGTCGTGATGAAATTCCCGTCGAAATTCACAACGCAAAATATAATCCAATACTAATACTATTTTTAATGATTCCAATGTTTTTAATGATTAGTGACATTTTCACTGATTCGACTTAAGAGAGTACAAACACTAAATACAACAAGCTGGTAAGTACAGCCGATGGTTACGGACGCTAGTTAACAAAGGTCGCTAATGTCACGCAACGACTTGAGAAAGATTCGTGAAATGAGGTGCTGAATAATTATTGCATATCTCACGTGATTAAATAAATGATCGCTTTTTCACCACGGCGTACGTAATTCATGCCTCATTTCTTTCGCGCGTTTCTTTCGTAGGCGCGAATGCGCGCGTTTCCGCTTGCTCACTCAGCGCCGTTCCCAAGTGATCTTATAATATTTTAAACAAAAATAATATAAAATTCCAAAATAAACAACCAGCAGGGAAAATAGGTTTGAAAGTTTTCTATTAAAGTCCAAAGAATTTATAAGGAGAATATAATATATAATATATATAATAACATAATAAATGCATAATAAATATTTATGATTAAATATTATTTAGTATTAAATATTATTTAAGATTAGACATAATTTAATATTATAAATATTATTCGTGCGGATCAGAGAATCGGTTCGACGTGGTAAGTACACTGGGAGAAAAAAATATATAAAAAATAAAAAAATATTTATTCTGCGGATATTGATAATACATTTTTATTTGTTTAAATGGAATTGTTGTATGAATGATAAACAATTGTTTTCACAAGGAACTACGATTTTAAGAAACTGTAGCTTTCCCCGTTTGAAAAAATTGTTTTCAGTGCAAAATGTGTGTATTAGTATTAGTTATTAGTATCGCTGAGTAAATATTTTTTTATATTTTTACGTGTCCTTTCTCTCAATGCACTACTATGTACAATGCATCCTACGTATGAATTGAAGGTCTGGAAATAAAATCCGACGTATGCGTTTTACATTATCGAGCATTTTTATTCTCACGCTATTAAATTTAAATTATTTGCGCTCGATATCTCTAAGAGCGACGATTCTTAATGGTTCCCATCGTTCTTATTTTATATTTCCCTCGAGGAAATTAATTCTTTAAGCTTCTTAAGCTGCATTTCACCACCGACCACTTTCCCCTCGCGCATATGTTAATATGAAACTGCAGTTATTTCGCGTTCGATTGAGAAATCTTACAGTCGAGACACATCGCTTACATCGCACGACGTGAGGATGTGCCGAGTGAAAACTCGAACGCAATTCACATGAAAAGAATATTAATCGCGACGAATCATAAAATTGTGATTGTCTTACGGCTGTGGTTTCGCCGTACGCGGTTTCACCGAGAACTAGTTAACTTCAAAAGATAATTGCGCGGAGATCGTTAACTCTCAGCGGGCGAAAGTGTTTTCGTTCGAGCTGATGGGTTGGAAATTGTTGAATTTTTTTACGCATCGCCAATTGAATTTTCATTCTGTTCAAAAATATCGAGAAAATAACCAGGAGGTACGAAGGGGAATATAACGCATACAAGTTGCCAAATTTTCACAGATTAACTATCATGTACCTTGATCAGAAATTGTGTACATTACATATTATTTTCTGGAAAATTAGGTGGTCAATTAGGTGGTCAATTCTGGAGAATTAGGTGGACCTCGTTTTATAATATTATTTTATAATTTCTCTACAAGTCCCTTTTATCGTCTTCTTGTTTTTCGTTAAAACCGTAAGTGTAGTTTGATCGGTGAAGTTAAAAGCACAATAGTGAAATATGATGTAGCCGTTTTCGCACCAGTGATACATATGAATATCGTTAACTTTGATTTCAATTGTCTCAGCTTCGGTATGGCCGATCTTGTCCTGATTTTACGTGTAGATTAGTTTTTCTAAGTTCGATTTTATTATGTTGTTGAAATTTGAAAGAAAAGATTCCTGAGAAAATGAATTTCCCGCCGTAAGAGCGTGAAAGAGAGCGTGACGTGAAAATTTCGACTCGGGTTCATTTTCACACTTCGAACTACCGGTTCCCGAACTATCCGCTTATTACGTCCTTATCGTTTCCAGCGCGTACTTCTTGCCGAGCGTGCTCCTGCTGTCGAGCGTCCTGCCGGCGTCGCATCAGACCGCGCAATGGCGGCCCTGCATCGAGCTGAAGCGGGATCTGCTGGTGCCCTGCAAGTGCGCCATCTCCGCGGACTACCCGAGGTCGCTCGAGATGGACTGTGACCGGGTGATCTTCACGCGGGACACTCTCAACGTCCTGCGCGGTCATCCGATCGTGTCGATCAGTCAGAGGCACTGCGGCCATCAGACGCTGCCGGAGGACATCGTTAATTCCGGCCTGAGCCTCCGTGGGCTCGATCTATCGAGCAATTCGATCCACCGGCTGATGGACCGGCTGCTGCAGGTGCAGTCGCAATTGCGCGAGCTGCGACTCGCCGACAATCTACTCGGCGACAGTCTGAACCCCATCTTCTCTAGCAACGAATTCCACGGCATGAGCGAGCTCAGGATACTCGATCTCAGTAGGAACGGCCTGCGCAGCATCGAGGAGGGCATCCTCAAGGGATGCGACAATCTCGAGGAGCTCCATCTCGACGGCAACAACCTGAGCGCGGTGCCCGCCGCCTCGCTGAAAGGCCCGCGCGCCATCAAGGTGCTTTCCTTGGCCGAGAACAACATCGGTACGTTCGACGCGAAGTTGCTTCTTCTACACGGAGAGTATTTTTACCGCGAAGAAAAATTGCTTACAATTGATCGGATTATTTTTTTTTTGCTTAGAATTAACGACAACGACGTTCGCGACCGTTGCCGTGACGGTGAAACGAACGCGATATTTTTTCTTTCTTTCCTTAACGATCCGCGCGGTTATTAGAACGTGTTCGTGGCGAGAAGAAAATCGCGGGTGTGTTGCGTTTCCATCGCGCCGCACAAGCCGCTCCTCCTCTCCGGGCGGGTTTAACGAGGAGAAGACTCTCGGTACCAAGAATTTTCACGCCTGACTTTCTCCGCCGTATCTCGTATTATTGCACAGCTGCACGTCGGCGAATCTGCATTCTTTCGCGAGACGATTAACAGTATCTCGTCGGTAATGGTACGCAGTACCTACGGCGAAGTTACGGCACGTTGATCAACGTAAGAATAGATTACACCGCTTATGCGTGAGTCTCGAAACGTCCAAGAGTCTTTTTTTCTCCGTGAGAAGACAAAATTCCCCGACTTTCCCAGAGACATCCCTGTCATTTGAGTTTTCATTCATCGCTTGACCGTAAGAGTGTCCGGTGATCGCGTAATCGCCGTCACTTTTCCGCCCGAATATCAAACTGGTTCTTCTTCTTTTTCTTCTTCTTCTTCTTCCTCGATCATTATCCGTGTATATTTTGCTATGTAGGTTCTTTGCCACGAGGTGCTTTCACGAGCCTCGGTGAATCGCTGCTACGCCTGGATCTCAGCAACAACGAATTGTCTCACATGGAGGACGGTGCTCTCTCTGGCGCTCAACATTTGCTGTTTTTCAACATCTCACGCAATTCTCTCAATCGGTTCAACAGCGACGTCTTCAAAGGTAAGCTCTTCGCTCGTCACTTCGGTTTACCCGCTTGTTTCGAGCGATTTGTCTCAAGTAGCGGTTTATTTTGAGTCTACAGCACTTTGGAAATTAATTACAAATTAATTACAACAAGTAGTCCGAGAGAAAGGCGAATTTGCAATCGGGCGAGATGCGGATTTCCAAACCGTTTCTAATATCGCGAACTATAATTGGGAGGGAAAGCCAATGCTACGTGTTATCGTTTGCTTCCAAAAGGGATTGATCTTTTCTCCAAATAAAAACGTCCGACCAGGTGAAGTTTCCGAACTTAACGTCGGCTAAAACTAACAAGAGGGAGGGGGGGGGTGAGTCTGATGTTATCATCACGGATTTCGCTCAAATTAATATGTTATAGCGCAAAGTCCTTACTATTTGATAGACAAATGAGACGACGCATCTTTCAAGCATTCGCGAGAAATTTGCATGCAGAGTTTCTCGCGCGCCTTAAGTACCGTTTACGAAAATACGATTGTAAGACAGCGAGCGTAACGCAGCAGGTAAGGCGATGGTGCGGTATGTTGCACACTGCGCGTTTTCAAGTCCTGGCCTCTGCCTAACTATTTCTTCAACGTTAATTTTTACGAAATGTTAGCTTCAATTAACAATCGGGAAACGCATAAATAATCTAAATCTCTTATATCAACTATTTGTATTGAATCATCGAAAGAAGCAATTCCAAAAGAAGGATGTATCGAAACATCTCAAAATTTTCAGTAAAAAATTATTGCACATAATATTTTCGCGCGTAAATCTAGAAAACGACGGTCTCCTTCCGGAAAAATCGGCAGCACGGTTACGTGCGGTTTTCTTCCCCGTCGACGAAGATGACGACGACGATGTCGATAACAATAACGACGACGACGGTGTGATTGAACGAACCGGAACGAACCGCACGCGCGCAACCGATTTTTCCGGAAGGAGACCGTCTTTTCCTAGATTTGCGCCCGTAAAAATGCCCGTTTTAATCGAGCCGTGAGAAGATCCTGAGCGCCACGAAAGCGCGAGAAGTTTACGCGCGGGCGAACGCGGGTGGGGAATACGACGGCTTCCCGGCGCGACTTTGACGGAATAATGAACTCTATTCCGCGTTCCCACACATGTCTGATGCTCTCACGAGATCATCACCATCCACACTTCTTTGTGCAAGCAAGGAACGCCCACTGTGACTCGAGCAGTCGTCGTCGTCGTCGCATGAACGGCATTTCTCCTACCGTCTTCGCTCGCTGTGTAATTTCGCGCGACAAAACGGCGGAATCCACCCCACTCCGACTCAGCGATGAAGGAGTGAAGGAGAAGAGAAAACAAGAACTTGAAACTAAATTCTCTCCCTCTCTAACCACTGTGCTCTAACGGTTTCAGGGGCGTTCAGCCTGCTGCAGTTAGATCTCTCGGCTAATTTCCTGCGGGAGTTTCCCACTGACGCACTAAGACACTTAGTGGAACTGAAATTCTTGAATATTTCCAACAACCTTATCACCGTGAGTATCGCCGCCCGATGACGCTCATTACCTTCGGACAGTCTCGCTTGTCATTTCACAAATATTAATTAATATTTGCGAGCAACCTATGTTGCTTCTCGATCTAACCGCCTCCGCGCAAAAGAATGCTGTTGCATCGAGATAGAATATTTCCAAGGATGCGCACAATCGGAGCAAGTCGATTCGATAGCAATATTATTGGAACTAATAATACATTGTACGTTGAAAAATTCACGAATCTTACAATGCTCTATGATGTATCAAGATATCCATTAAAGGACGAATTATAATTTACTTAAGTCAATATGGGCTGGCACAGGTTGTAAAGTGCGCAAACAATTATTGCATATTCTTGAGAACTTAATCGTATGTATAATTAAACATTTCGTCATGTTACGGTTGTTTTCGATAAAAAAAAACACAATAATACGACATTGGAGAAAGTAATGTAAGGCTCAGTGCAAAAAAACTGTTATCCTGTCCCTGGCATGAAACCCACAGAATCGTACAACAAGCCTGCGCAACTCCAGCTGAGAGCCTTAAAAGACCGAGTGTCACTCACCAGCATGTTTCCACGTGGAGGTTTCCAAAGGAGGGATTCACTCGGAAATCGTGCATAAAACCTCGAAAGCACCTAGAACTATCATAAAATTGAATCCGAAAAATTCGAAGAATCCGAAAAAATACAGTGTTCGGAAATAGCGCAGACAGCCGCACAAACGACACTGAAACAAAACAAGAGTAGCCGCAGGAGCGTGATTATCGGATCACCAAACACTACACGTTGTTTCAATAACTCAAGTATTAGTTTCAACGATCTTGCTGTTGAATCAAGATGATTCGCTCCGATTACGTGTGCTCTTGAAGATCCTATCGGTACACTATTTCCGTGTAGAAATGACTCCTTTTCTCTTCCGCAGGAGATAGAACAGACGCATCTGTCAGGCTTGACCGAGCTCCAAGTATTGGACCTCAGCCGGAACAACATAGGCCGGCTCGGCGTTAATACGTTCTCCAACCTTTCCGTTCTCACGAGACTGGATTTAAGCCTGAACGCGTTGCGCACAGTACGTTACGCTGCTGAAATTTGTCATGGGAACATTGAAGGCCGATCTCTCGTGGCCCATGACCTGTTTGTAAACTCACCTTCCGGTCGCGTTTCGCGCGGATACGTTCGGGTTAACGATCCTGTCGAGGAAAAAAAGCGGTGTTGCGGAATTCCCGACGAATTACCGGTGAAATGAGATTATCGCGTGACCAACTCGGTACTCCGAGAAATCCCCGAACTTTACGAACGTTGAAAGGATCACCGGTGAGATAAAATATCGCACGATCAATCGGTAACCCCTGAACTTTACTTCCGATTCTAAGGATAGAAAATTAAAGAGGAAGTGGATGAAATAAATAGAAACGAAACACGATAACTAACTCGTAAGTCGCTTTGCATAATATCGTCGCGACGTTTCGCGACGTTTCGCCCATTGCAGATCGAAGAATCGTCCTTCGAGGGCCTGACCAAGCTGAAATGGCTGTCGCTGCAGGACAACAACATCCTCTTGGTACCATCGGCGGCGCTGACGCGGCTGCTTTCCTTGGCGCACCTGCACGTGCAGTTCAACCGCATCGCCGCGCTGCCGACCGAGCTGATCCGCGTCACGTCCACGAATCTCGTGACACTCGGCCTCACGCGCAATCTCGTGCGCGATATCCCGCCTAGGCTCTTCTACAACTTCGAGAATCTCATCAGCATCGAGCTGTCCGGCAACTTGCTCTCCGTCATCTCGCCGAACACTTTCACCGGGCTGGAAGACACCCTGCTGAACTTGGACGTGTCGTACAACCGACTAACCGCCATCACCGAGCTACCTCTGCGTAATCTGCTCTCGCTCAACCTGGCGGGCAATCAGCTGAAGCGCGTGTCGCCGGAAACCTTCAAGCACCTCCACCGGCTGCAGTATCTGAACCTCAGCAGCAATCCGTTGTACGGCGGCTTCCCGCCGATCTTCCCGCCCTCCTTGCTCAGCCTCGATATCTCGCGCACGGATCTGAGGATCCTGCCGACGGTGTTGCTGCTGAACATCGAATCCTTGGAGAGGATCTTCGTCGCCGGCAACCAGCTGCAGGAGATCGACGAGGGTACGTTCCAGCACCTGTACAATCTCACGACGATCGATCTCTCGTACAATATGATCGGTCGCATCGACAACGGCGCCTTCGTCGGGCTGATCAACCTCTACACGCTCAGTCTGCGCGGCAACAGGCTCACTTCCTTCGTCGGCGAGCACTTCAACACCGGCACCGGTCTGGAGGTGCTCGATCTCTCGGACAACCGCATCGATCAGTTGTCCCCCACCGCCTTCGTCATTCACCCGCGGCTCCGACAGCTGGATCTGTCCGGGAATCGCTTCGTACAATTTCCCAGCGACTTCGTCAAGTCCCTGCAGTTCCTCGAGCGGCTGGACCTGTCGCGCAACGCCCTCCATCACGTGCACGAGTTCGCGTTCTCGCAGATGGGACGTCTGCGCATGCTCGATCTGTCCGGCAATCGGATCGAGTCGGTGGACGAGCTGGCCTTCCACAACTCCACGCAGCTCCAGTCGCTGCATCTGTCCGGCAACGTCCTCGAGACGCTGAACGAGCGCACGATGGAGGGTCTCTTGAGGCTGGAGTCCTTGGATCTGCGCGACAACCGGCTCGCCTCCTTGCCCGAGACCATTTTCGATCCGTCGAGGATCCGCGCGGTGGAGAGGCTCGACCTGTCCGGCAATCGTTTCAACGAGATACCGATCCGCGCGCTGCAACGGCAATCGGCCTCGCTCACCTCGCTGCGGATGGCGCGCAACTACATAGCGGAGGTGTTCACGCAGGATATCGTCAGCAACGTGAAGGAGCTCGACCTGTCCAAGAATCCGCTCAGCGAGAACGCGATCCACGGGATTCTGGGCGAGGCGAAGATCCTCCGATCGCTCAGCCTCGTCGGCACCGGCATCAGGACGATGCCGCGGCTGGAGACGCCGTTCCTGAAGCACCTGAATCTATCCGGCAACGGCATCACGGACATCAAGCCCACCACGTTGGAGCGCACCACGATGTTGCAGACTTTGGACGTGTCGCGAAATCGTCTGGCGGACTTCACGAATCTAGTCAACACCTTCAAGATCCTGCCGGTGCTGTGGAGCCTGGACGTGTCCGACAACGAGATGAGGACCGTCAACGAGAGCAACTTCGACGGTCTGGCCGCGCTGCACGTCTTGCGTATGTCGAATCTACCGAACTGCACGCGGATCGAGAGATCCGCCTTCCGCTCGTTGACGAGGCTGCGCACTCTGCACGCCTACAACTACCCGAAACTAGGCTACTTTGACGTGCAGGGTATCCTCAAGGGTCTAGCCAGCTTGGAAACGCTGGACATCGAGATCAAAGACTCGTCGGTGGGCAACGAGCAGCTGTCTCTACGCACCCATCCGCATTTGCGAGAGCTGACGTTGCGCGGCGAGAGGCTGCACAACGTCCTCTCGAGCTCGCTGGTCGGCGTTCGTGGGCCACGGCTGCTTCTGGGCCTCAAGGACACGTCCGTGAACTCGATACCGACCGCCTTGTTCTTCCCGGTGCCGCGCTCCACGCATGTGGACCTCGACGTCTCCGGCAGCAAGTTCAGCAATCTGCCGGCCCAGCTGTTGGCCGCCCTCGACGAGCGTGGCGGTTCCGTGCGAATCACGGCCCTCGATAATAACCCGATCAACTGCAGCTGCGAGACCAAACACCTGTGGCGGTGGTTGAAGTCGTGGGGCAGCAGGGCGCCCATCGTCGTCTGCTCCACTCCCGGTCACATCGCCGGGATGATGTTGAACAATCTCACGGAGGAGTATCTGTCGTGCGAGCGCGCGACACCCACCAAGCCGCAGACCACCGAAACCACACCGTCCACGAGGTCAACCACACCCGAGCCCGAGATCATCTGGACCGTGGCGCCGACGGTGCAGAACAATCGGAACAAACACTACAACAATGATCACACGGGTGAGTCCACGCGAGTCCTCGTTCAACATTTTTCAATTGCTCCACACTTTCTGTGTAAACACCGACGGGCACAATACTGATTATTCTCATGAATACTAACCCACTCCCAATATCGCGAGTATTGATCATTTTATACCGAGTACCGGGAGTACTACTTTTTCGCAGGGATACATGTATGGCTTTGCACGATTGACTTTTAACACTGATCAAATAATTTGATTTTAACATAACTTTTAATTAAGTTAGTCCGCGTTGAAGTAACTTCGAGGCTTAATTTAATGAAGAATAGAAATTAACTCATACCTAACTCCGATTATTTCGTAATCGATTTCCCGATGTTGAGTTTAACGAGTCTTTTTCCTCCCTTTCACGTGAATTTTCGCGAGACAGGTAATACAATTATGAGTAACATGTCGAGCACCGACGACACCCTGATCATCGGCATCGTTGGCGGCGTGGTGGCGTTCATCGCGATCATCATCATCGTGATATGCATCTGCCGGCTCAGGTGGAGCAGCCAGATGAACGAGGTACGGATGGCGGCCGTGGCGTCCAGCATCCACGAAGCTTCGATGATCAGGCCGGCCAGCGCATACTCAGGCAAGATCAACCACGAACTCTACATGGGATCGTACAACGGCTCGACGCTGGGACGAGGTAACACCTCGATACCGGCCACTCCGGTGCAGATGATGCCGTACGTGCAAACGATGCACGTGATGCACACCATGGGCTCACCACCGCCGCCCTCACAACAGATCTACGGATATTACGACAATCCGCCGCTTCCTATTTACGTCGGCTGCCCATCAGAGAACAAGTTGGATAGATAATCGACGTCGATCGATTGCCGGACCGCGAGTGTCCGAGAGAGAGAGAGAGAGAGAGAGAGAGAGAGACGACGATGGCGCATATTCAGCGATATTAGGAATCAGCTACCTCGGCATCGGCTGATCTCCTTACAAATCAATTCTGTATTCTTGTTCAAAGATTTTTCTCCCATAAATACCGAGCAAGTGTTGATATGAACAAAGCAACGGTCGAAATAGAAATATCCCTACAAATTAAATATGTATTCTACGGGAAAAGAATTTGCGAATCGGCATAATAGTTACGCCTTGAAAGAGAAGGACCGATGCGGTCTGTTTCTTCAGTTTTCAGAGCGGAATTTGTAAGAATTTAAAAACAACGTGCAACTTTGTGAGAGATTGAAGAGGCCTCTTTTTAGAACTCAATCGCGGCTGTTTTAGCGACGTATTATTTTTATGGGAAGATACAAATGTTTATATATATATATATATAACGTGTGATAAGAAAATGTGATACAAAATTAAAAATTATATCGTTGCAGCAATCGCGATTAATAGCTCTACATAGCCTGTTCTATCTCTCCTTAGTTAGTCATCTACGGAACCGATGTAAATACAAATTTGTCGAGAGTCTCGTAATTAAACACGTAGTTAAACTCTCGTAGTTAAGGACAATTTTTAGAAATTTTCAAGCGTTCACATGAGTCCCAAGACGTTTATAACTAAAACTGAAAACTAAAGAGGTAAACGCGCTACGTTTTTTCTTCCAAAGTATAACTATAAATTATCTATATTATTTAATTAATTCACTTCGATTCCAGTCTTTTGGACGTCTTACGAACATCTTTTGGACTCTCGCATCGTTCGGACCGCATGTTGATCAATATACCTCACTGAACAAGTGTCGATTGATGGCGTACGCATGACATCGAAGCATTTTAGACGGATAAAGTACGAAATTATGCGTAGTATAACGCGGAGGAAATGACGGAAAAAAAACCGGCATGGAAAAAATTAATCTTACCATTCATCGCCCGTATTTTTTCGTCGATATTTCCGAAATATAAAGCGCGATTCATGCGCGATTCGGACGGATCGAGTGATCGAGCGAGTTTTTCGGAATAACGATTACAATGGCAATTATTTGAATAGATATTAACCTGGTCACATTTTTATTAGACAGACAGTAACCGAGAAAATCAGTTATATATATATATATATATCTCAATCAGTACCAAGAATAAATGGTACAAAATAATGTTACATACTGTATAAGCATAATGATTCCAATGTAAGGTGCGTGCGTATGTAAATGTGTAAAAATATCGTACCAGATGAATACCCAGTATTTGGATGAAGCAGCAATAATCGATTTCACAATGAAAGTAAGTTAATTAGAGTGTGCGACGTGCGTATGTGCATGTAATTAAAAAGAAATGGTGCTTACGTAATATGTATCCAAATATATGTCGAATAAGTCTCTATTTTCATTTTACTCGATCTGTACTTAATATTGGCATAGGGTTAAACGAGGTTGTTACACATAATATATCATGTATAATATATATTTTATATATATGCTTATATACAAACGATATGTATTATTTAATAGACATTTTTAAATATGATATATATACAACTTCTTGTAATATATATTACAAGAAGTTTGGGATAGCGCATTTTCAAAAATATGGTCTATTGGATTCTTAAGGAGGAGAAAATGCGCTCCTACCTCTATCAGCCCGTTCAAGAGCTTCGTGAATCAAATGAAAAAGCTCGAGTACAATTTTGTCATCATTGGTTGTTGCAAGAGAGTCACGCTGATTTTCTCGAAAGAGAGTTCTGTTCACCGATGAGTCTCAGTTTGCTCGAAGCAAAGTTTTCAACTTCCATAACAATCATCACTGGTCAATGAAAAATCCATTACGAGAAATTTAGATAAAGAGAAGAATAAGAAAGAAGGTTATGTCACAGCATAAAAATACCTCAAGTCAGGAATTTATTTTCTATAGGTTTAAGCATGAACAAAAATTGCAAATATCCATTAGTTATCTGCTAAACTTGTGAGACGATGAAAATGCTATATATGTCTCAAAAGAAGACCCAGAACGGTTTCAAAAATATTATCGTCGACATTTTGACTTACTCGAGGGTAGACGGATAGAGTAAAGATTCTACGTCAATGATAGTGCCTAAACGTATTTATTACCATTTTATAAGCATTGGAAGTTATACATGTAATCATTCTCTGTAGTGTCTTCGCAACATTTGTAGCATCCACTGTTATCTTTTTCATATTATATTTATTCTTTCATTGGTTATATATACTGATTACATACACCGGTAACAATGAAATCAATAATTGTAAATTAAATTAAACAATAGTAAATATTGAAAAAAATTCATTGATTTATTTATACAAATTTAGATATAGGAATAGCATTTATAACTTCCAAATAACGAATTGTAATTTGAACACATGTTTAGTCCTCAACTAACATGTAATTATAATAAATTAAAATTCACTTGAATAAAGGCGCACGATATATTTTTTGCATTATATCTTTTTTCAAGAATTTTATATTAAAGAAATGATTAAACTTACTATAAAGATGGGATTTTCTTAGCAAAATCAAAATTCTTGTTATAAATTCTAAGTAATGTGTGCAACAAAATATTAATGCACGCTCGAGAGTTTCGAACTTCTTATTGAACTCTCTTCTCTTACTGAACTTGAGTTTAGTAAAACTTATTCTGATTAGTCAAATTTCGATCCAATTTCAATCTTAATCCATTATGCGATACGAACGTTATTCCGGATCTATAATAGATGTAATAAGTTTTAAGCCGTGAAAAATTGACCAATCATAATTGAATATGAGAGGAATAATCTATTGTGATTGGCCAATTTTTTAAGGTTTAAAGCTTACTAAACCCATTGAAGATTAGGCTTAAAGCTAATTTCACAACCTCCGGTTAACTTAATCGATCGTGATTGGTTATTTTTCGTCAATTCTATTTAACAACAAATGCGATTGGTCAATTCCAATGGAATAATCAGGGATTTAAGTCAACCGGAGGTTGTGAACTAGCCTTAAACTAATTAACTAGTTACTACCCAACCTTGCCGTGTTCCTCGTTAGAAAGCGCCATATGTGTCTGTGGGCCACACATTAGAGACGTTTCGGATTTCTAACCTCTCGTTTGAAAGGACATCGAGTGTATTATCTGTTATTTTTTCGACGAAACGATAACGGGAACGGATAATAGTATCAATAAATGAATCACAAGGGAAATAATATGTCGATAGGAGGTTATTCACAGCTGTTCTCTTCTGATTTTTGTTAAAATTCTCCGCTGAACCATACGTCGTGTAGAAAATTTCTTAAGAATGACGCCGTTTCTCGATTGCTCATCGAAAATTTGCAGATATAACATGTAAAAACAATACAATGGCGTATTCCGTGAATATCTCTATAGAAGCCCCGATCGAGAACCAGATACAGGAGATCTCCTACGATGGACAAGAAATTTACCAAGCGTAAGTGACAGATTCGACAATAATAAATAACATAATAAGCAATACTTGATGAACACCAACCAATGCTTTTTATTGGATTTTAAGCATACGTTACACCTGCAAACTAATCTAAATTTTATGAGAATTAAACAAGGTATATACATATCAAGTAGATTTGGTTTCATTCATCGCAGGCCTCTTACATTGTCGGAGAACCTGGCGAAAATTGCTCAAAAAATTGACTTCAGCAAAACAAACGGCGATGAGATAAACAAGGAACAATTGGAGAGTAGCGAGAAGAATGAAGAAGATCAAAAGGATTCAGCCTCATTTCAGTCCTCTTTATGGCCATGGGATAGTATTAGAAATAAATTAAGGTTTGTCATACTTTTTCATCGATGACGGTATATAGAACGTGATGATAAGTAAATAATATGTTTCTAAGTATAATGTACATGGCAATGTGTTGTTGTATGCGCTGTTATTTATACGGTAACAAATATCTCGACGTTTTGGGAAATAAAAGGTTGGATTTGATTTCTTTGGTAGAAATGCATTGACAGAGGTGTGTGTGTTGGCCGATGTACTCGCAATAGCTAAAGAGAAAAATTACATGGTGCTAGACCCGGTACCTCAAGAGTCAGTTGAGATAAAGCCTATGATGCAAGTGTATGCTAGGAAGAAAGCACTCACCGGAGCAGGGAATCTCATCATTCATGGTGCCCAAAGACTGCAGAATAGTCAAGCTGAATTGGCGAAAAATAGGTCCACTCCTGACTTTCACATTGAATTGTTGAGGTTACGGCAAAATTGGCGTTTGAAGAAGGTGGCGAACTCTATCATCGGTGATCTTAGTTATCGAACTGGTTTGTATTTTTTTACTTTTGAAACATATCTGTTGTGCACTGCTGGGTAATTTTAATATTCTCTCTATCAATTTACAAACTCATATCTGTACCCTAGCTGGCTCCAAGTACACACAGACGGGCATGTTTGAGGTAACTAAAGCTGAGGATGAGGAAAGAAGTAGTAACAGCCCTCCAGCATCTCCCAACACTGGTAGCAGTACATCGGGACAGCCTCATGGTCTCTCAAATTCGAAAGCGTCTGCATTGCGCGTAACCATACCCAGCGAGCTACAAGGTGTTGCTTACATCGAAGTACTGTGTCAGAAAGGTAATGTATTTGTAATATAAAATTAATTTGTACGATGCATATATACGAAACAAGTGAACGTACACGGATGTTCATTACAGATCAAGAAGATCTGTGCAGTGCGAATATAAGTCTACTCAATAGCAGTGCGAATAGTTCAAGCACAGACATGCACTGGCAGCAGAAATTGGAAGCAGCGCAGAATGTGCTGTTCTGTAAAGAGCTGTTTAGTCAATTAGCGCGGGAAGCTGTGCATTTGCGCGCGCCTATACCTCATATGGTTGTAGGAAATCAAATAATGGCCACGGTATATATCATATACTATACGAGAGTAAAACTTTCCTCCCCTTAACTTAATTGTGAAATTACGTTATACCAGGTACTTCCCGGAATTCAACTGATAATTGGCCTGTGCCACAGCACAGGCAACGACAAGAAGCCCACGGCTCCGCCGCCGCACAAATCGGACCACGATCACGTATTGGAGCATTCCTTGCATCAGCTGTTGCGCGAAGTGCATCACAAAAACACGCACCACCCGTTGCCGCATCCTTCCTCGGGTCCGCTCGGTCCCAGTAAACGTAGGTGCTTAGCCGGCCCCACCGCAGCCGATAGATACGAGCTTCTGGAAATGGCGAAGAGTCAAACGCTACTGGAACAAATTATTCAACAGGCGCAACACTTTTTCATGCGTTTGCGTACAGAATATGTGTTGGACACGATAGCGAAGGAGGTGAAAGATCCCCTCATCGTTTCGCACTGGAACGCGCTCAACTCGCCTACACAGTCCTGCGTGAAGATTAATATCCTCACGCACGGCTATGACAGCGTGTGTCGGACCTCACTGGTCGTCCACGTTGGGGAAAAGTCGTTGAAGTGCGTTTGCCGCGACGGTAGAGTCATGCATATGAGTTACGAGCCTCAGGAGCTGAGAGACCTAATTTTTTGTCAGGTTAGTCCTTCAGTTGAACACTTTCTTTCTACCTTTGCATCTACGTCGGATTTCTAAGTTACATACCAACGATGGTTAACTCGATTAAGATATCTTTGTACGCGGGGAATCCCTATAAACTGGGACAATGCTCTATCTATGTATATCTACGATTTCATCTTTATTTCGACAAGTACCCTTTTATTCTTAAAAATCTACAAATCTACCCGCAATTAAAGTCTCAAGTCTTCTTCTTTCATTCAGCATTTAGCGAAATTGTATCTTAATGTATCCTTTATATATATATATATGTATTATTGTAGATTTATCAGCATCAGATAACTGCAGTGCAGGCTTTGGCCAAATGCATGGGTTGGCAGTTTTTGGCGAACAGCTCACATCTTGGTGTGGGTTCGGTGGAACCTCTAGGAAATGCCAGTAGTTGCATTCTAGCTTCGCCGATTGGGGACAGGTATTTCGTAACACAGAAATTGTCCGGATTTATGATATCAAAGGCTGTGTTGTTCTGCATTGCTCAACGAATGAATCGATTGTCTTTGTAGAATGATAGCCGTACGATGTGAACCGCAAACCGGCGTACAGGTCTCCATTGCTCATTCGCCTCGGAAGGACTTTTTCCCGGGTCAGCTTGTTCGTGAGAGGAAATGGGAGAACCTAGGTGGCTCCTTCAAAGAAGTCAGATGGGACAAGATGGAGGGAAAAAATTTCCTCAACAAAATGGAGCTACTCATGGCTTCCTTAACGAGTTCTTAAGTAATGCGAGAAATTATGGCGACAATGAGAAGTCGACGTAAGGAGAAAAAATCTTTCAAGATAATGTTCGTAATAATCTTGTTTTTGGAATAATCTATTTCCCAAACGGAAAATACAAGACGTTTTATCAAAACGTATTTTGATTTTATCATGAATATTTTCTTTTCTCGAGAAAATATTTCGTACAATTGCAATCGGTACTCCTGCCTTCCTAGTAAAGATTCTTTTAATGAAAATTTATGGCTTTCCTTAAAAATTGAGTTTTTCTTACAATGTGAAACATTTTTAAACCTTTTTCATAAAGTTGAACGAAATTTAACTTATGAAATAATCAAATTTCTTATTTCGTCTCTAGTGAAATTTTGATAATGTACAACAATGTCTGAAATGTTCTGTTTAGATATAACATTTGTTTAACTATTCATTTTTTTTTGTAAAATAGAAAAAAGAAAAATGAGTACAACTTTGAGGTATTTTTTTTTAACTTCGGTTCATGTAATTGTTTTAAGATAAATTCAAGATTATGTACAAAAAATTATACTCTGTAGAAAAATCACCCTTAACGGTGGTAATAAGCCGAAAATTACTCTTGGAAATGAAAACAAAACACCAAGTGAATTTGAACCAGCGTTTGAACGTATTTTTTGCAAAATAATATTAAATAATTAGTAATCTATGTATAAAAACTATTAAATCATAATATAACCCCTTCTATAAGGATTGAACAACTATAAGGATTTAAATTAACTCTGAAGGTGGTTCTTGCATGTAGGGGTAGTTTAGTGGTAAGAAAATTTTGGGAAAATTTTTTTCCACATATATTTGACGTCTACTCGAATTTGATCTACCACTTTTTATATAAATTTAATCTGTGAAACTATTACACAACAAAAATTAGCGTTAAAGAGTTAACAAGAGGGGGAATTTATACAGCCGAAGTTGTACAAAAATTAGTTTTATTTGATTGCCATATGAAATGCAAATGTGAGTTGGATAATAAACGATTGCGAGTTGCAGTGATTGGAGGAATGTTATACAGTGTAATTGATATAACAATATTAATATTAATGTTATACAGTAATTATCTTAGGTATGTAATTATCGGCTTGACTTCTCCTATCCTCTCACTTACAAAAAGTAACGAACATTTCCTTAAAGTTTAACCGTTCCTTCGTTTTTTAATTTAGTTAAAGTATTTATTCTTAAGGCGCAATTTGATGCACAAATATACATTGTGTTTAACGTAATATATTCATCGTAGACGCGTACATATATACATATAACACATACGTGGCTACGATACACGTATCATCACAATATATAATCACATTCACACGACACACACACACACACACACGCACACACGTTTTAGTAAATATTTTTTTTCTCTTCAAAATACACAAGGGAATACTATACAATTCGACATCACGTTCTGGATTGAGATGCTATCGTGAATCCGTCGCATAACTATTTCGATGGATTAAGGGACGGACTAGGAGCGGCTTGACCAAAAATATTCGTAATGTTCTACAGTCTTCCTCCCTCTTTTCGAGGGAGAGGGGGAAACACCATTTTGAGGCATTCTCCCTCCCGTTCACTCACTTCCTTTCTCTCTCTTTCATTTCCATATAAGGAGATATTTTGAAACTCAAATTCGACCGTCTGCGCTAATTCATACTGGTACATACCGAAGTTACAAGTAGTGTTATTTAAGTGTAAAAGCGTAACGGAAGCACCCTGGCCGATAAAATCGACGGAGACGCATTTCGCTAAATTATATAATAATATCGCGATAATAAGGCGCTTACATTTTACGTTCGGACAACTTCGCGCGGGTAACAGGCATTCTCAGTATTTACCACCGGTGCAGAGCGCAGACGGTCAAGTTCGCTGTCAGTTGTAACGCATCACACATTCGTACAGCGTGAAACTCACTCCTCGCTCGTGGTTTGGTCAAGTGGATGTATTATACACGGAATATAGCGAAATATCTTGTTTAGCCACACACACACACACACACTTGAAATTTATCAACGATATAATACAGTTATATTTTTTCACATTGGCCTTCTCAGTAACTTCACGGAATAAAAATATTCTGCCCAATGCGTCGTCCTTATACAATCATCATATAACGGAGCAACGAACGATTCTCTCGTGATCTATCGTTTAAAGAGAGAGAATGTACCTTATTGTGTTTACGCTCACATCCATCGAAAGATAAGATATCCACATGCCACGAACGCGTCAAGTAATTTTGGGACTGCCCTTTAACTGTTTTATTTTCTCAGGAAACAATGAATTATACTCTGCGTCCTCCCACCTGCGATTCTGAACGCAAGCGCGGTAGTTATCATCAGTACTATGTAAGCAGACAGGATACTGGCCGCATAAGCCTGGTATCGATTGAGTAACGTCATGCAGGAAACGAACAGATGCGACCCAACAACCCAGATAATTTGTCCCCAGTGCTTCCTGTCCAGAGCTGAGAAGAAAATGACGCCCCAAAATGTGTGCAGCAGGATGAAACATAGAGTGAACGCCGCCGATATCACGAAGAAATATTCTGTGCCCTGTCGTAATCCCATGGTGCCAGGTCCTACTGCGTCAGCCAGGACATTGACCAAGGCAAAGGTGCCGCTCATGAAACCGAAACCTAACCCACATACATAAGCGAATACGTGCCTGCTGTCTGCTACATGAGTTGTCGTGACCTTCTCTAAGCCTCTTTCAGCTTTACGCAACACCCAGTATAACAGATACCTTCAAAAATATAAAATATTTAATATAAGAAAAGAATTATATAAATATTATATATATATATATATATATATATGACTGAATGAAAAATAGGCAAATATTATATAGGTCTGTGTAACAAAAGTCACCTGAAGCCTTCTTGAAACAGCACAGAAAATACCAATCCAAATGCGAGATGATTCTGCAATGGTACAACGGCGTACCAGAGCCCCGACGACAATAACAAAGAGATGAGCCAAAAAAAGGCGCTGGCTATCAGTATGATTATTCTGATAGGCTCGGCGGCGATGGTAAACGTAAACATTGCCAGCGGCGGACCGAAAGCCAGGAAGGCGCAACCGAAGAAGCCCATGACGGTCATTTTCTCTCCGAAGCGGTCGAACACGTTACTGGTCTACCTTTCACGTCTCTTCCCTCGACGATCGGATGTTGCGAACGATTAAACGCTAAATCTCCTTAATTCTACGTAGCCTCTCCACGGCTCGGATACTCCCTTCCGTCGGGCGCATTTATCCTCTCGATTGTCGCGTTGCTCTGGGCTCACAGATGAGACGAGCGGCCGCAGTTGTTATTGTGTCGTTTTAGAAATGTACAAAAGTCCGCATCTACGACGGAATCACTCGCCGTATCGCTTGACTCGGGGGAAATTTGCCGAACGCTTTATACGACTCCTCCATACGAGCGCGAGGTTATCGATAAGAACGATAGCTGTCCATAGGCCATTGAACTATGAGTGCGATCCGCTAGACGCCGCAAACGCTTTGAAGTGCCAGAAGAAAAAAGAAGTCACGGTCAGTCGCCAACTCAGTAGAAATCCTACTTGATAGTTTGGTTTGATAGTTTTTGACAAGCGATTGTAGGAAAATACATTTCAGAGGTTGAATCTATTATTTTATTTCATAAATATACGTTTGCGTATAATTTAATCATACCAAGCTATATTATTTGGTTTTTAAAGTAATTTTTTATATAGAATAAAATTTAGTAGGATCGGGCATTCACGCGTAGGATTTCACAGAAGTTCTCGTAGGAAAGTGTCGTCACGAATTGGCAACACTGGTCACGATTGGATCTATACGGGGTTGGTTGCGCTCGGAAAATGCAATGTTGTACGACGATTGAGTAATTCGTCAACATAATTGGTATAAATTTAAGCGTGGTCCACAATGGACGATAGGAGTATGTTCATAAGAAGTAAGAATAAGAAATTGACCAATCACATTCCAATGGAAGAAGAATAATCGACTATGATTGGTCATCAATTTCTTACTCAGCCATGTTTTACAGAATCGAACTATTGCTGACAGTCGAGTCGAAAAAATAATCGCTATCACGGGCGATCAACACAGGAGTATCGAAGTTCGATATTCAAGGATAGTGCATCGATACGTGGAAATGTCGAACGGTAAAATATCGATTAAAAGTTTGAATAATATTCTCACGTATCTCTACTGAATTTCGTCATGTTAGCACACACATATACACGCACAGGTTCAAATATAATTCCACACAATCGGTGCGGATAAAAACAAAACTTGCGAATGGAAATCGGCGGAACGAACGTAAAACAGGTCGAGCCAATCACGAACGTTCCGCCAATTCCGCACTGCGCACTATAATGCCCGCAGTGTCCCAACGTAACGCCCTCATTAAGGCCACTTTTTCAAATTCAGTAAGATCTTTCAAATATATTCTGGATTTCCTCGACCTCATCAATCAAGCCCTTTAACTTTGTATACTCCGTTTTTGTCCAATCCTACGTTGAGCGGTGTTGAGGATGCACCTTTAGAGCACCTGAAAGAAAATTGAGAGAAAGAGAAAAAGAAAGAGAGAGAGAGAGAGAGAGCTCAATTATATTCGATCGAAGTAGTTCCCGTACGATTATGCAACTCTAAATTGTTTAGGTTTCCCTTAGCATCGAGCAGCAGGCGATTGGCGGGGACATTGGCCGGCTCGGCGGTAAGAGGTTTTCTTTCTCCCCGCACTCTTCCACTGTGTGTCCGAGCGAGGTTCCACGCTTCCGGATTTTCGCGCAGTCTCTCCTCTTCTTCCCAGTGTGCTCTCGAAAACCCTCAAGATGAATCGTCTAATGAAGATCCTCCGGAGCAAGGAGACCCGCGAATACTTTATGAGGCGAGTGCCGATTACGTTCGTTCACGATGACGTTTCGCTAATGAGACGTTCGCACTGTGCATAGTTATCGTAGTCACGAGTGACAACACGTTCTGTTTTCAGCACGCACTTTTGGGGGCCGGTCGCCAATTGGGCGATACCGATCGCTGCCATTTCCGATATCCAGAGGGACCCCAAGTTTATTAGCGGTAAAATGACCTTTGGTTAGTTCACTGGACTTTGCCACGTAACATGTTTCCCTATATTCTTGAGGGGTTCGGTTAGCAGCGCTTTCTATTCATCTAATTGATTGATCGATCGATCGATCGCCCTCTTCCTTTCTTAGCCAATCGCTTGAAGTTTTGCCTCAAGTTCACGAGCAAATATATAAATACGGCAGTATTCTTTTTTTCTTTGCTATCGTAAAGCATAGATTTTCAGCTAGTTTTAAACAGTTCTGTTGCTTATCTGACATGCACACACAAATCGAATAATTCACAAAGAATCGGTGAACATGGAATGAAGAATTGACAATTGATATTGTCGTATCGTGTAATTACTCTTTCTCAATGCATAGCACTGGCTTTATCGTAGTATATAAAAGGGTCATCTGTCAATATTTGCATTCTACTTTACCACAAGACTTATAGAAAGCTATGAGAATCAGACCAGCTCGTAGAAAATCTGTTATTATACTCATTACAGTGTCAATTTTCAGGACTCTATGCTAATCTTTTTCAGCATTATGCTTATACTCAGCAATGTTTATGAGATTTGCAATCAAGGTGCAGCCACGCAACATGCTTCTGTTTGCCTGCCATTTTGTCAATGAGGGTGCACAAATTACACAAGGCTATAGATTTATAAATTATCATTACTTCAGTAAGGAGCAGCAGTAAGCCAAAGTAATATTCATTTGCCAAAGTGATTCATTTTTGTTAATAACAAATCATATTATTTATATATATATATATATATATATATATATATATGTAACTCATATAATTTGTTAAGCATAAATATGACATAATGAAAAGAATTGTTTCTTAATGAATAATAAATGTAAATATGTTACAATCAGCTTTGTTTTTACTGATCTCTATAGGATTAATATGTATGCATATTTGACGAAACTATTAAGAGAAACGTCAAATATTTAAGCAACTGACAAATTTATATACACGACAATTTTCACACATAAATTCGCATGAAATATCTTTATTTCATATAAAAGATACAAAATATTTTAGTATAAAGAATTATTATACCATGAATTCGAAATATCGAGATTATCATTGATAAAAATACATACTTGTAGCATCAATAAT